TGCAGTGATTTGGCAGTACGTAACCCAATGCAGTCGACTAAATTTGCCGTACAATTTCGAATGCAGTACAGTGCAAATGTCCCATGGTGGTGCTTGTACCTTCCGATTTAGTCGGATGCCAAAGTAAGTTTTCAAGCTGCCACGACTAGGGCTAAATGCTTATCAATGTAAATGCCCCAGTTTTAATTGAAGATGTGTACGACAATCAAAGGTAGGAGCTGGTAGAAGCTTTCTGATGGAACCGAGACGATGGGTTGTGGCAGAGAGCATGGCTTGTCCACATGGTTCGGGGAGACTGGTACATCCATTTTCTCGGACACGATAATGTTGTCTAGTGAGGTTTCAGTCGATGGTACACCCATAACGCAGGAATGCATTGGCATTTTCAGCAAAGTGCAATTCAATTATGGTCGGTCGTAAACGGCGGTTTCTCAAGGTGCCATTTATGACGTAAATTCATTGCCCAAATTCACGCCTTCGGAAATTTAAGTTGGAGATACAACAGCCGCACTCACCACAAGTCGGTTAAACTGAGATGAAGAAATAATTATTTTCTAAAACCAGGAAGAGCCCGATAAGTGGTGACGACGACGATGATGATGATGGGGATTACTAGAAGCACCCATGAAAGATGGTGGATACAAGTCACACACTAGCAGCCAGCATGAGCATCAGACGTAGCAAAGGAAGGGCAATAAGTAGGAAGGCGACTGTGAAGGCAGCTAACAGAGCCTTTTGAACTCGGCACGGGTTCGAGGGCGAAGCCAGTATGGCGCTGCCCTCAAATCCATCTTGCATTACGCCTGCACGACGTCTATGCCTCTTAGCTGCTTCCTTGAGGATTCGTATAGCTGCTTCTTTGTTTGAGACGGGGGCGTAAACTTGCATCAAAGTGCCACTCTATTTATTTGTTCGACAAATAACCTTAAGATATATACAAGCCTTTGAACTAAGCGGTTGATGACTCGCCGACTAAGGACGACTGTACCCCAGCCTAAATCAGATCAAGTCCGCATATCTATGCTCTTGAAGTTTTAATGGCCCAGTTGGCTTTGCACAAATGACCGATTTCCATACAAATCTCGATGTGAGCACCAACACGGAACATTTGCACTGTACTGCATTCGAAATTGTACGGCAAATTTAGTCGACTGCATTGGGTTACGTACTGCCAAATCACTGCACAGTCGACGGCGACCTCATTAAACCTGATCACAATGGAACTGGGTGGCACTTCGTCTACTTCGTTCTTCCCCCCACATCCAGATGCAGCCAAGTTTGTGCCATTGTGATTTTGCCACACCACCGTGAAAGTCAGTTTGTCCATGGCAAAGTGAATAAGTGCGTAAGAAATGCGGTGCTGGGTAGCAGACACCAGAGGTGTGGTGTTGGGACTGCCTGAACGAGTCGTGCTTGATGAAGCTGTGATTGGTGAGAAGTGGGGACAAGCAATGACATGACGTGCTGCAGTCAACACGTGCTTTAGGTATGTTAGGCGAAGAGACAAGAGGCACGGAGTCGTGGAATGCAAAAACCTAGATTCGGGAGAAGAGAGTGCATGGGACATGTGCGCGTTTACTACAATTCTCTGTCTTCCATTGGCTAACTCTCCATTGTCTCTTTCTTGAACCGTGTTGCTTAATGTCAGGCACAAACGAATCAATCGTCCAAACGGCTTCAGCTGACTTTGAAATAAGTCAATTCTCGTCCAAGGCATTTGCAAATAAACTGCACAGGATTCGTATTTACGTTTTTATTTCAGAAAGCGAAAAAAACGCTGATTAAAGTGATAAATAATTTTTGAAGAAATCACGAATGGACTCCCAAATAGGTGCCTTTAGCATTGGAGAGTGTTCTGCTGACGGAGGTATGTCATCACCGGTTGATCCAACCACACCGCCACTTTCACCTGCAGATACTTGAAGGCACGTGTACACTAAAACGGAATGTTGTAGCATTGCTGTCATTGTAGTCGATTTCTGAAGTCATTTGCCCCAATCGTTTATCAGCAGTGTCCACAAAGCTGAACCACACTGAACTGAATTACTGCCGACAACTAATGGATGCCTTTGCTAGAGGTAAATTCAACAAGCAATTGCCTTATTCCCAATTAATGAATGAGTGAATGAATGTGAAGTGGCAGTGAGTTCTATCTGCTAAGTCTTCCCTGGAAAAAGCGAATTAGACCGAGCAGAATGAGAAAGATTGAAGCACTTACTAGCGAGTGTCACCGCGAGCACCACCAAGCCGATGCGCATTGTCACGTCCTTTCTGGAAGACGACAATGCTGAGAGACGGAGATTTGGTGCCTTAAATACCAGCTTTTCCTAATTACGACTTTATGGACGAATGTAGCATTTCGCAATGTTCTAATATGAGGTATCGGTTTTTGTGCATTGTTACATGCCATGGGTGGTCGTCAGGTGTTAGCGTACTTCGCTGGCAAATCAGGTTTGAGCACGGGAAATCAATTTGTACAAACAGGCTAACTTGGTTTCATCTGTTTGGAGAAAACTCGTGAAATCAGGTTTCTGTGAAACATTTGCTACATTAATGCCAATTGGCTTTCTCGTTGGAGGTTAGGCCATTTAAGAACCCGTATTCACAATATCAGCAAAGGAAATGTTCGAAAGTTAAGTTGACGATGTGAGACGATGAGTTAAGAATTCAGGGGAATAGTTGAATAATAATGCTGATGGTCTTTTGACAGCATAATTCAACGAAGAAGGACTCTGAAGTTACTTTATTTCGTACTTGCAGATGTACTTTCAGTTGTGTTTTGGGTTGAATGAGTTTGAGACATCGACGACGTGTCCACACCAGAACAGTCTGAGGATGCGAGCTCTAGCCGAATCGGTTCCAACGCCTAGCCCTTCATTGAAGGAAACATCAGCATTCAAGAAATAGTTCATGATACCTAGGCAAATGGTTAGACGGGAGGAGTGTGCTGTTCACTCAGATTGGCATGCACTCAAATGGAGTCGACGACGGAGCAAAGGATTTGCGGTTGAGTTAGATGGATGTTGGTTCTACATGTCGTACACATGTGCGGGTGTGTTTTGTTGTCATATATGGCAATGATAGCTGCATCATATGTCTATGAGAGATAAGCTGGTTGCTCTGTCACCAAAGAGCTAAGGCACTAGATTGCTGGCTATCGACATGGATAAAAAATATTCAAACGGTATATGTGGACATGAATGGTGGTAGTGGTCGAGAAATGGTTCGCGGACACTTCAACCCTCCATACAGGCTACAAAGCAGAGTGGATTTAGCCATAAACAACGATAACAACGACAACAGATCGACAAGTTACTAAAATTGTAGTCCTTTTTTTCACAGTGGAAAATAGTAATTAGCATTATATTCAGTTTAAGTTAAGGTGTCGCTAATGTTGTCGCGCGTGAAGCATTGATGGTCTAGTGCTCAAATTCCATGTAATGTCACATGCGGAATCACAACGGCAGCGGAGGGAGGTGAACACGACCAACATGTCGCAGGATGCACGAATCATTACGCAATCCTCACTAGTGCACCAATGCAATATTTTATAAAAAATGTTGTGTGTGCATAATCGATAATTTCTTTTACTAGATGACTCCCAGATTACCGCACACACCATGTGTTACCACTGGCGAGCTTGTGTGGCTCAGTGTGAACTACAAAGTTAAATTGTGAAAAACGGAGGAAGCAAGGAAATCGGGGGCAGGGCAAGACAAATGAACCATCAATGTATAGCCCCTTGATAGCAAAATGACCAGAATGTGTCAAAAGCCTCATGCGTTGAAAACATTGAAGAACTCCCACTCTGGTACGCCTGCATTCAGTCTGCTTCATTGAACTGGAAAGTAAGCATTAAAGAAACAAAAATCCTTGTTTATTTTAAACCACGCTGTCGTGACCAAATGGGTGTCTCTAGCTGACATTGAATATAAATGCCATTTTTTATATGGTACTGCCATGAATGGGGACAAGGTATCGCATGTTACAGTGGACAAACCCCGATACCTGACTTTAAAACACTGCACAATGATACATTTGTCTACAACGTCTTGCTTTTCAAGTACTCACGGCCCAAACTTCTGACCATCGTCTTCCAGTGCGCGTCAACAACGACAACAACGGCAACAACAGCTTGATAACTTATTACATGTGTTGTCTTTTTATTCACAGTCTATAATAATCATAAGCGTAATGTTTGGTTCATGTTAAATTCTCGCTACTATCTTGGCCACGTGAACCTTTACAAGGATTCTTTGTCTTCCTTTGGCTATTTCTCAATCGGCTATTTCCTGAACCGTGTTGTTTATTGTCAGGCACAAACGCATCAATAGTCTACACGGCCTTTACCTTCCTTTGAATCAATCAATTCTCTTTCGAGGCATTTGTAAATAAACTGCGCCGGATTTGAATCTGCTTTTGTGACGCGCGCCATTGGACCCACGCAGGCCGGTATGGCCTTTTCTTTGTCCTCCTCCCCCTTCCCGCACTCTCGCCTTCCTCAAGGCACGCCCGTGAGTCCGAGGGCAACGCCAACCCTCCTCGCGGCCATCTCTTTCCCCACTCTAACCCTCCCTAAGCTCTAGCCCTCTGAGTTTACATGCAATAGTATGGAATACATCCGGTTCTTCCAGCTATTCTTCTATCATGTGCCTGGTAGCTAACCGTGATGGTGTGGCTATCTAAGAGGGACGGGATAACAGTCATCTCCCTATTTAGGTCCCCGCTCGGTAGGCTCGTTACATTTTCCATCTTTAATTTTCTCTGACTGTCTCATGAATATTCATGGTGTTTCTCGTACTTAACAGTCATTAACGAATGATTTCTAACCTTGTAGTAACAAATTGTTGGTCCTTAAAAATTCATGATATCCGATAATATTTTCACTGTATTTTGGACGCTGGTAGTAGACCAGGATTTACCATTACTCCGCTTAGCAACGAGCGATTCGCTTATAGACGCAAAAGCAGGATTAGCTTGTAGAAGTATTTGCTAATTTGACTTATCGGGTGTACGATAGCACTAAATTTGCAAAGGGGATTCCACTTAAGGAATCAAGCTTTATATTTAACATTCCAATTGGCACAAACATCCTCTTAACTTCCGCTACCAAAAAAGAAAAGGGGAATCGTCTTCGTCCCTGGGATTTTTTGGCTTCTTGGGCTTGATTGTTGTTCGTCTCCATGGTGTTTTAGCAGTCAGTGCAGCGGTAGTTTGTAGAACAGGATCAGGTTTTCTTGCGTAGGCTTGAGTTGAAATTTGACTAGGTCGTCGAGTAGTGTCGGGGTGCTTAGACGCGATGTCGCGAACTTTGCTGCAAGTCTCTCTTGAAACGTCTCGAATTGCATACCATATGCCACCTGATACAAGCAGGCACGCAAACACTAAAAAGGAATGCTGCTAAATGAATTCCATCGTATTCGGTTCCCTATGCAACTTTTCCCCATTGGATTTTAAGTAGTATTCTAAATGCTGATATTGACTTGATTAAAATAGCACTGGTAGATATTGGATGCAGTCCTGCTTTCACGTCATTTGTCTTATGAGGATTAAAGTATTAGTCTCATTTTAACTCCTATTTGACTACCATCTGACGGCTCAAGTACACTGCTTGTGTGCATCGTCACGTACTTTCGTGCAGAAAGGAGGCATTGCACCTTAAATACTTGCTTTTCACAAATTAGCAAATTTCGGACCAATGTATCATTGTGCAAAAATTTACTGAGACGTATCGGTTTTTGATATACTGCGATATGTGGCATTCTATTTACAGGTATGTGTGCAGCCAAATGTATGCATACGAATCCGTACTTTATTAGTCGAAAAATATCCTCTTAATTAAAAGCAGAAAGCTATTCCCAAGGAGTTGACCGTGTTAAATATCGAAGGCCGATAGGGCTGAAGCATAGCCCTATTGATCAAATCAAACTCGTTAGGTAGGGTAACCTTCTCAAGCGCAAATATAATGCCCAACTATTATCGCTTTTCTTTTTTTTTCTTTGTATCTACAAATGTGCAAAATTTAATTCATTTATGAGTGGTACTGATTTTCAAGAAAATAACTTAATAACTTGAATATTGTTGGAATCTTTGCGACAAGTATCTGTGGTTCCGCACCCGTTTACACACTTTTCCACTAACTTTTTGTTGCATTAATGCTAATGAAGACATCCTCGCTTCAGCACAGGGAATCATTGACACCTGAAAGACTGCGACTTGATGCACACTATCAAACATGTGAAAGTCGCTAACTGCTTAGAATTGACATTTTTCAATTTCCATGAACCGCTGACTAAGAAATTAGTTATATTTATTGGCCTGACCTTGATCTGACTAATTAAGTGCGACTCCAGCTGGACCAATAATGATAATAATTGCGCTACGTGGACTTTTGGTATGTGAACACCACACATTCACACACACGATCCAATTTTTTGAAAGATTGGTTGTTTGGCAAAGAAATCGTTATAAATACATTAAATTTTCTTTATTTATGGTAAATTTAAATCAAAAAGGAAGCGAAATAGCTATTCGCGAATGTCGTAACGAAGATATTTTGCAGTTGCCTTTTGGCTGAGGAACCAGGCAGACAAAAGTATGAGTGCATCACGCAAACTTCAGATAATAGCGGAAATTGAAAAGCGCTGATTAAATTCCTTGTTGTGTATCGACTTGCTCCGTTAGGTTTTTCACAGACATTTTTGCGTAATGTTGAATTGTTGGCAATCACAAACACGCGAAACAATTAAGAACGCATGTTTGAATATTCACTGAAATTTCGCCAAATATCTGCTCTAAAAACACACTAAAAATTTTCCTGGCAGCAGAAAATGAATCGTGGAGAATTTAAAGAATCCGAATTGCCCTAAACTATTAGTAGTTAGATCATTCCTTTTAATGGATGCAGTGTTTCCTTCCAGTGATCTGAATTTGTGAATCTCATGACTGATGACTGAAACAATCATTGTTAATTTGCAGGAATATTTTGATGATCAAATGCAACTTTAGGTATTGGTTTGTCTGCTACAATTGGTATGCAAAAAAAACACAGATTTTTTAGTTGATAGTAAAAAAAATAATTCCCTGTTAATGGAAAAATGGTGGACTTGAAAATGGAATTGTGCTATCCCAACAATCTAATCAGCGTTTTACATTAGTAAAATTAAACGAAATTTTGTTATTATGTTAAAACATTGTTATTGGAGAAAGTATATGGTTAGCTTAAGAGATGATAATAGGAATCGGTGGGAGAAGGCAACTCAAGGAGGCCCTCAATGGAGTCAAATAAAAACACCGATTTTTTTGCAGAAATAAAGATTGAGTAACATATTCTGTCTCGCTACGATTTCTAGCTTGCAATAAACGTCATTAAAGGTAACCGTGTACGCAAATGTTTATGGCGTTCCAGAGAGCCGGACACCTGCTTAGTGGACATTGTAGTAGTTGTATTATTCGAAATGCCTCGTGTAAATGAAATATGCTTATGAAATTTTCGGGCACATTTCCCATTTTATTTGTTTTTTTTTTGTGAGCACGTAAACCTATTATTCGAACACAAGATTTGTACCATTTTGTTACTATATATCGGTTTAAACCGCGCGCTCTTAGACTTTGCAGTGATGACGACGTTTAACACTAAAAGTCCTGGTAGGTTGATGAATCAGCACGTAATTTTTTCCTAAGCTGTTAAGAGGCTGATGCGCGAAGCCCAGGAGCTTTCACAACCAACGGAGCTCTATTATGCTCAACCACTTGAGGTATTTTTCTAGATTGGAAATAAAGATATGTCAGGATAATCTCTTTGAGTGGCATTTTACCATTCGGGGGCCAGAAGGCAGTGAATTTGAAGGCGGGGTTTACCACGGTAGAATTTCACTTCCTACTGAATACCCAATGAAGCCTCCTAACATTATGCTGTTAACTGTAAGTTTTTTCATAGTCAAGCGCTAAACGACCATGGAGGTGCTCAGTTTTTACAATTTCTTTGAACAGCCTAACGGTCGATTCGAACAGTATCGTCAAATATGTCTTAGTATTTCCGGGTACCATCCCGAGACGTGGCGCCCTTCTTGGTCGATTCGCACGGCTCTTTTGGCCATTATCGGATTCATGCCAACTTCCGGTGCCGGTGCAATCGGATCCATGAATTTACCTGCTGATGAGCGCCGCAAACTTGCCGCCAGGTAAATACCTTTGGATTTTTCTTGTTGTTTCGGTGCAATTCTTACCTCTATGTATGTAGTTCCAGAAATTATGTCTGTGAAATTTGCGGTCCAACGAAGGACTTGGTTCTTCCTGTCACGAGCGCATCCTCATGCACGGCTAAGGAAGCTCAGCAAGTTGCTGCACAGTTCGTACTTACCGTGAGTTGTGTTGGTAAACTTGATCTTGTTTTTTGTCAGTCTGACGTGTAACCTGTTGTTCTTTCAGGACCCGGATGCACCGAAAGAGTCTGCTACACGACCTCAAGAGTCAAACTGCCAAGCGGGAAATACGGAGCCAAAGGAAAATACAGCTCCTCAAAAGTTCGCTGACGGCGTGCCTGCTCAGATGAATGCGTTTGGTGGAATGCCTCAACCCGCGTACTGGCTGTGCTATCCTGTATATTTGCCAACTGATGCTTCGATTTCGTCCAACACAAGTGGATGCAGTTCTACTATTACAAAGGCGGGTTCAGGTGGCAGGTCAAAAACCGCCCCTTTGAGTTTTGAGGATTGGCTCAAAAAGGTGTGCTTTTCTTTTTGATGGGCTTATTTTATCCGATTGGTTGTCTTGTCTTTATAAAAAGCATAATTTTCCTTTGGATGCTGCTCCATGTATGCAACCTCGTTAGCAGAACAGTTGACATCTTGTAGTAGAGCATCACCTGACGCGCCGAATCCTCACCTGAAGTGAAGCACAGTGCAGTCGTTGGGTGTGTCAAAAGTGCCCATAATCCTTTCCCACTTATTCACAGGTTACTGATCCTTTTAGAATTGTTGTCTTATCTCAATTAAATCTGGTGTAGTGTAGGAAACTGGTCAGATTGATTACCTACTTCTGAATTACTATGATATTTAATTGTTGCGCTGGGCATTGGGTGTTTCTTAAATAAACTCCACATTTGCATGGAGCCACAAGTCGCCTTGTGCCGCTTTGTCTCGTGTGCATTTAAAGAAATCGATGCATTCACGTGTAAGGGTGTTAAGCAATGCATCAAGACACGGACGCGACAAATTCAAGAAATGAGAATGAAGTGCCCGTTGAACCCGCTGACGCCGTTCCCCCGGATTGGTGAGTCTGGCAAATTTTGTCGTCATGGGACACAATAAGGTAGCTTTATTCTTCATTTTTACTGAATCCTTCTTCAAAGTAAGCAAATTCGGCATAATTACGTGCACCAAAATGCGCGTTTTTGTGTCGCCATCTTTGAATGATAGAAAAATCCTACATTTTTCTTGAATCGCTTTTGCCTAAGTTCCCGTAATGTAGCTCGTACTTGCTCTTCTGCACTGTTCCATTCTTACATCGAGCAGGCGTTGGTGTGTGGCTGGAAAGTGATTCACCGTATTTGTGCGTTTCCTTCATGACATTAAGCATTCAATATGTTTGGAGCGTAGTCGTGCTCTATCGCTACCAGGTTTGGAATCAGTAGGCAGTTAAATTGTGCACAAACCGAGGTTTTAGGTGTTCTTGTACGCTTAATGGCGATTGCGGTAGTTAATAGCGCTCTTTATTCAATGACTAGGTCCGTGAGTCTGCAACTGCGCCAGATGACTCTAGACTTAATGTTTCCCCTGGAGGTGCACGTAAGTCCTCTTCGGATAAGGCTAATCTATCAACCAATCAGGTGCAAGTCAGCGCAACCTCATCTCCAGCACCTGATGATCAGCGACCAGCTAGGAGTCAGGCGAGCAGTCCGACAACGATAGCCCTGGACGATGCCTTACCCGTAGTCACTGGAGAGGGGGGCAACACGGCTCTCGTTCAGGAATCCTCTGTTCCCGTCGAGATGACCAAAAAACTGCCACCTCAACCCGAACCGCAGCACGCCCGTGAGAGCATCACTCAAAGTCCACGAGTGATACCAATTCCCTCCCAGGAGTCCACCAAAGAAGCAGCTCAACGAATCCTCAAGGAGGCAGCCGAGAGGCATAGACGTCGCGCAGCTGTAATGCAAGATCGATTCGAGGGCGGCACCAGGTTGTTTTCGCCCTCGATCCCGCGCCAAATTCAAGCTGCGCAATTGGCGGCCTTCACAGTCGCCTTCCTGCTCATCGCCCTTCTTTTGCGACGTCTGATGCTCATGTCGACTGCTGGTGTGTGACTTGTTTCCACCGTCTTTCATAGATGCTTTCAGTCATCCTCATCATCATCATCGTCACCACTTATCTGGCCTTTCTGGGCTTTCGAAAACAATTTTTTCTGCATCTTAGTATAACTGACTTGTGTTGCGTGTGGTTGTGCAGTTTTGGGGCGCTCAATGTGGCTAGGCTGGGTAGCAGACTCCGAAATTTTGGCTTTGCGGCATGCTGAGAGCGGAGTTTGATGAAGCCTACTTCCTGTTGCTGACAATGCCTGCAGAAAGTAGCGATTTCACACAAGGGTGGCTGTCGTGTTTTTTAAACGCCCGCCATCAACTAAACTTGGTGTGTGTACGTGAAACGGGATGAGTGTTTATTGTGCATGGTCGTCAATGTTATCGAGGGTCGATGCATCGTATTCGTGTCTTGAAATGCCAAAGAACTTCACAGCACAGTCACCGCCGACGCTAGAATGCATGTAATGCAAAACACTCCTATCTGATCACAGCCGAGTGAGGGTATGCTTGTCGAGTCTATTGCTAGGTCGAATGAACCACGGTTGATGGAAGACATCCACTAGTAATATCAGGATTTTTTATTTTACATTGTAATCATCACAACGAGACAGTGAGCCTAGGATTGCAAACAAGAAAAAATGAAGTCAAAGGTGTCTTCAAGGAAGTTGATGAAATCGCATTCATCGGGGATTGGGTGTTGTTCTGTTGTTGAATTGGTGTCAGCAGCGGCCAGACCAACGACACCGTCTCCTCCACCTGCAGCTACTTGAAGGCACGCCAACACTTAAATGAGAAGATTGCAAAATCATTTGCATTGTAGTCGGGCATTCCTGATTAACGTATCTGAAGCCTCATCAACGCTGACCCATGCGGTGCTTAAACCATACCGGCAACTAGTTGGCGCATTCAACATAGTTGATATTTTACAAGTGAGTAGGCAGCTGTTTTACGTAGTTTACCAATTGGGAGTGCAAGCATTTGCCCGAGGTAAGGACCAATGATCGAATGAATGTGCAATTACTATTAGCGGCCAGAGCTTGACTGGAGACGGCAAACTGCAGCAGGCAAATTAAGACGCGCATGCGCTTACCAGTGAATGCTATGGTGAGCACAACTAAGCACAAGTCGGGAATTTTTTGACGAATGTATCACCGTGCAAGAAGATATTGTGATAGATCGGTTTTGTGCATTGTTGTATGTAACATCTTGTCTCCAGATGTGATAGTATTAAAATGCTCACGTAGTGAGTGGGGTGGGCTTTGGCAATATCGCAAGGTGCTGATTGATCTTCCTGTCATGTGGAAGGTTGTGCAGTTTAGTGGTCCCTGTACAGTGTGGTGTCACTTTGACGTGAATGTGTCAACCCAATTCCACATTTCCAAAATTCAATGCCTTCTTCTGATTGCCCCATATCCCTTTATGAACTACCATCCGTGTATGCGTGCATGCATTGATTTTCACATTAATAGGGTGTGATGGTTTGTAGTCTAGTTGAGTTCTCATTACAATCCATTGGAGGCATTGCCTACGCCATGCAAGACTTCGAGTGTAGAGAGAATTTTGAGCTGAAGAATATACAAAACGCCTGCATTCCATTGTCTGCTATAGTGTGAATAGCGTCCTAGTGAGGGTACTGCAGTAGGAATTGGTGGTTGCATTTGTCTGGATGCTCTACACAGGCAGTAGTGAAAATCAGAGACTAGAGTCGACAGAGGCAACCTTGAGCACGCCGCTAGGTCTAACAACTCGAGTCGGGCTAATGGGTTATGTTGTTAAATGCAGCGGGAATGAACCTGCAGAAGTTGGAATGCCTGAATGGTTAGGTGAATAATAGCCGTTGAGTGGGGCGATGCACACGCAGGGGTTTCCAAGCAGATGGCTTCGCAGGATTTGCAGGGGCTGTGTGAAAAGGTGGTCTTTTGGTGAAAATGCGATATCTACGCTTATTTTATGAATTAGCAAGATTCATTTTAATGCACCATAGCAGAGCACAAAGGTTTATTCTAGAGCTTAGTTATGGCAAATAATTTGCCCGCTAGCCCTTTCAGCACCAAACATTTTAATTTGCGCGTTAAGTTAAAGCACGAGGGATAAATTGATTGAAAGTTGTGACCAAAAGCATTCAAGCACGCGGCATTTTCAAATCTAGTGAATACAAATGACGATGTATGAATTTCAAACTCATTCATTGTTCATTTTGTTTAAAATTTTGTGAAATTGTTTGGGTATCGAAATATCGAAGCAGCTATGTAGTAAAAATGCGTGTATCGACATCAAGGGTGTGGATTATTGACACTATTGAGTTTTATACTTAATTACTAATCTGATCTAGATCATTTTTTACTAGTTCTTGTAGGACTAAACATTGGAATGAAGGTAGGAATTGGTTGCAAGTGCACCTTTTTACACTAGGACATTACTTTGAATTAAACTTTAAAATAAAATGCTTCATTCACAGCATCGTTTTTGGTATTCATTCATTGCTGGCTATTTACATTTTAAGTGAGGGAGGAAGCATTTCTAAAGCAATGTATGCCTAATCATTTCACTTGATATAAACAAAGTATTTGAGTGTTCAATGCGTAAGTGTATTTCCAATCGTCTCTTATTGAATTATTGGTTTAAGGACTAATTTAAGTTATATACTTGGCATACAGTATTATGCTGCTGATCATGAAGCAAAGTAGTAGGGGTAATAAAATCATACTTTACATAATTTAAAACTAATTGCGAAGTGTCAATACATTATGGTTGTGATCGGATAGTGACTACTTGAACAGAGTCACTTATTTGAAAATAGTTGGCCCCATTTCAGCTTTCACACATTTTCGATACTTCGCTTTAAACGCTAAACACATTTCAACCCCATCCTAACCTTTAACCTACCATCAGATACCTCGATTATAGAAGCTCACTTTTAGTTCAATGAAAAGGAGATTTCTAGTGTACTCTGACGATAAATGTACAGTAAAAATGCATCACAGAGCTCAGCCATCCACCTCAACGGCTATGCAATCGTGTCTGATCGTGCATAGTTGTAAGCAAAACAGCTTATAACTTGGGACACACGTGATATCATTCTCATGTCAAGACAGTTGTAAATAGATCCTAATTTGATTTATTAGCAAAAACAGGTGGCAAAAATACCAGGTAAACGGACAATTAAACTCTAAATATTCCAAATATTCCAAACAAAATTCTTGTCAGTCAGCTTTAGATTTATTCATGAACATGCTGTGTTAAATAAATCCCAGACTACCTTTTGCTTTTTCGTTGGGTCCAACTTAAACATACCAAATTCTTAGGCTTCATATATGAAGGTATGTTTCCTATTTATTAAATTAGTGAAAATTAGTTTAAAAAAAGCCGCGATCTGTGGGATCCATCATGTCCAACCAATAAAATGAAAATACAACCAACCACATTTAAAGTCACGGTAGCGAAACCCGATATTCCTTCATTGTGAATTTGTATATCTCAAGTAATGTTAGTCAACAGATTTTTTAGTTTACGCATATTTGTTCTAGATTCTTGATTGATTCTTTGATTTCCCTTAATGTTTCAAAAGAACTTTTTGTCACACACAAACTCATGAAAAAACTTTTGCCATCTATATTTATTTTTTATTTTTAAAATAAAAATGTAGAAAAATTGCGTCTTAAACTAAACATAGGCTTATTATAAGACTTCGTCATCACATTGTTTTACTCTGCTAAGTGTTTGGTAAAGCCGGGACTTCTAAATGCCCTGGAATTTTTCATGGTTGCTACATTACAAATGCAAATATCTCTACCTTGGTTGGTAGACAGTTTATTTTAATCTTTCATGTGTGTTCCATGAGCTGTTTTTCTAATATGTAGCTAGGTTTTCTCATTAGGCATTTGTTATTTCGATTGTTATTTTCAAATGACTCGCGCTCTTTTGTGTACGTTATTTTAGATACGGAAAAATGTATACTGCTCACATGAGGCGCATATTTAGTGCTCCGGAAATCAAGTCCGTTGAAAGTCTTCCGGATGAGCGATCATTTTATAACCTTTTCTTACATTTTAATCGCCGACAGCGGTATGTTCGAATTTTTCTAAGTCATTCACTTACAGACGATTTCACTCTTCGCTTCCGACAATACGAGGTGCTCCCGTAAATTTGTTCGCGCTTTTTACTGCCGTTGTTCAACATGGTGGCTATGCAAAAGTTACAGAAAAGAATTTGTGGGAATCAGTCTCTAGGGCTATTGGCTGTCCTTCCGCCTGTGTCAACTACAGCATTGCCTTGCGTCGGGTGTATTGCCAATATTTGGTTGCCTTTGAAAACGAATCATTTCCGCATCTTAGAGGTGATAGTATATGGTCTCAATTGCAAGACGAATTTCAAGAAGGCTCTGGAGATATGTTCACTCCTCCGTCGGTAGAAAAGATGCTTGGCATTGTCAATCCCATACCTGCACCGATTCACTCTGGCATGCAGCGTTCTGCAACACACATTGGTTTCTCTGTCAGGGATCCCTATCTTAACATGCGTTATCCCCAGGTATGTTTGAGTTCATTTTGGTAGTTAATAATTCATTCATGAATTTTCGTTTGAAATTAATTGATGTGCACAAATTTGTCCACGTTGGCTGTTTTTTGTCGCGCTCTTTATTTAGTAAAGTATTATATTTGAGGTTTGGATTTTCTTCAAGTGTAGCCTTTAAGGTGGATTGAGTTTTCAAATTGCCGTCAAAATTGCAACTATCCGCAAATCATTTTTAAGCTCTTTTGTCCATGCTAAACGCTAAGATGCCCATCCTTTCAAGGATTTCAATCGGTTTTCCCCGGCCTACGACCAACTTACTCCCTCTCAGCAGTGGGAGGAACTATATTCGCGTCCGCATCCGGATAACGCATTTGATTTGCGTCACCTCTCCGTCCTGGAGACCGCAGAGAAGTCGCTGATGTCAGGTCTACCGAACGAGATTGATTTATCGCTCAATTCTATTCTCTTCCTCTCCGCTGTGGTCCATCCATCACTCGCTACACCTCTGCGTCTCAGCAGCACTCGAAACCTCCTTCAGCTCATGCTCGCCACCGTGGGCGTGTACGAAGATGGTAAGTATTTCGACAGTCTTGCTCATTTATCATGATTTGTAAACGAAGATATGCCAATTTTGGCATATTCACCCATCAGCAGTAATTGAATCTTCATTGTTCTGGAGATATCGTGACATCGGTCCAACTCTAAATTGGAATATTAATTTTAGTTCACTTTCAAATGCCAAATTATGAATTTTTCCGTAGAGCTGTCCTGCGTACCGCTTAAAAACCCCATATAGCCGCACAACCGCATAAGATAGTGCGTCGGTTATGAATTTGTGTGCTGCGTTGTACGCACAAGAGCCCTTTGCTTGTTCCTTGGGTCCTCGTGTTTCAATGGGCTAAATCATCTGGACGGCAGTGCCCGTTTAAAGTTTTAGAAACACTATTTGATTTTCCAGTTATTTTGGTCGCCATCCACAATTCTTCAAACCTATGAAGTGCACGATCATCGACTTGCCCCATAGGTTTAATTAAACCAAAAGAATTGTTCCAAATTAATGCCCCCATGACTCTCCAGGACCACGCCACTGTGGCCGTGGCGAAAGTCGTCCATTGTAGTCTCAAATTTTGCATTTCTTAATCTTTCAGGCCCCGCTTCACTGCGTCCTCTGTTCGAAACCCAGCCCAGTGCATCAAATCTAGATTTTAACAAGGTATTTTATTTTTTATTTATTTTGTCTTAACTGTCGGTATCGCAGACTTGATAATATTTCTTCTCTGGAAGTTTTGGCAAGATGTCGCGGGCTGCTGGGTCAACTCCTCCCTACGTGAGGACGCTTTCCTTTATCGAGGTATGTCCTTCTGTGTTACTTATTATTCCTCTTGATTCACATCACTCATCACTCATACTTTATCAAAATGTATTACGTGAAATGATGAAGCATGTCTTAACAAGCCGATTGCAGAGGTGCTTTTCAAAGTACGTCTTTTTATATCCTCTCCGTTCATCTCATTGTCACATTAAAGGCTGCCTTTGAAACCCGCGTCTTACGCGTTAAGTTGATCCCTTAGGAGTCGTGCAACGCCCAGTTCACTAGCCTTACGACAGTATCTTCGGGGTTCTACACCATTGTGGATTTTAATCACTTACTTGCTAGTTATTTTCCGCCTATTTCCTTAGCTTTTCATCCAAAGCATTCGCTATCTCCATCCATTGTTTTATGCCCACACTTTGTCGGACCTCGTGAGTCTGTTTTTCGTCGTTTCCGCCGCATTACTATCACCCACTAGAGGTGACGCTCACGCGCTCCTTGGCTTTTTTAATGTGTCCACACCAAAATTCATTCAAGTTGTCCTCGTTACTGTTTGGTATTTTATACCCACTGTTATTGTCACAACGAGGCTCCATAACACCCCGAGTTTTGCTCGAGCGCGTCTTCGCGTGTCGCTTCGATTTGTTCTGATTCGAAAGTTTTAGGCTAATGAAACTAACTCGAAGTAGTGATAACGACCGCTTCTGCGCCATTGCACTCAAGTCCGAGTAATGACCTCGGCAGTGAACGTGTGCAGAGCCTTGACGACCATTTATATGCGTCATTCGGTTTTACTAACGATGTATATAAGTACCCCTTTTACATTGGTTGAAATTCGCTCGCCAATTCAGTCCTACTGTGGCGTGAGCCACTTTAGTCTCGGCTGTTGGTAACAGACGGAGGTTTGTTGCTTTGCGCGTTTTCTCACGAGTCTCTGATTACGTCAATGTCATGCATGTTACGTGAATAGACGATGCCTGATCTGGGAGCCAAATCTACTCCTCCGAATTCTGATCAATCTGTATTGTCCTGCTTCCCTCGGTAGGCTCTGTTCGTTTTCGCAAAACCAAACAGGTGGGTCTTGCTGACTAGCTTGTGCGTCCCTGCTACTTCTTTCTCTCCTCCATGTCGTTATGTCCCTCAAATGCGCACAAACACTCCTTCGGGTGGACACACGAGCCTTCCCCATGTACGCGCCTTCCTGTCTCCCATTGGTTGGGTCTACTTGGCGTCCATTGGTTCGCGCCGAAGGGCGCGCGTCAACGCCTCGACTTCTCGCTTTCGTTCTGTCCCGGTGTGATTCAGCCCAGTGGTTGTCCTAATTATGCGACTTCGGTCGGTTTAAATCTCTATCGCCCGACGGACATGAGGTTAATCAGTAATGTGTACGACGTTGTGACCGAGGCAGCATAGCGATCCGACGTTAGAGATCAAATTCTTCAAATTTGTCGATGGGTCTTACTCTAGCCGAGGTTTTAGCACCACACAAGTTTCGTTCGTGCTGAGTCTGATTTGGCCACTGTTATTCGCGAAACAAAAATCTCTTTTTTGCTGCAAAAACACCCGCTTTCGAGTCGCAAGCTCCTTTTTAATATCTCGGACTATTCAAATTAAGAAACTGAACTCGCGGGTACAGGATTTCACATAATGAGGTTCCGTTCTGTGCTGTTGTCACTGTCGCAGAAACTAACTTTTTAGTACTTCGTATAAGTCACGTGGTTTCTGTTGGGAAATTCCTTGGACGCTTACGTAACAGAAAAATAGATGCCACTGGTTATACTCTAATCTTTGGATTAGCTTTCGATAGGTTATTTTGACCAGACAGTAGGTATACTTTAGTGCGTTCTAAACGTTTGGCTCTATGAACTCATATCTGTCGTTTTTAGAACATTCCGTACCGATGGTGCACGACGCTGAGACGGCGGGCTATCGTGTTGTTCCTCCCCCTTCGCCCGACTCCACATACGATCTCTTCTCCCCTTCGTCCTCTCACTCTACACATCTTTTTGGCGATTCCCTCGGAAGCAACATCCACCTCACCCGGGTCCTAACGGTAGCCACCACCCTAGTTAACTGCGTCACCCCGCCTTATCTTCCTGGGCTGCCACCTCCATTGGAGGAAGACGACGATGAAATCGAGCAGGTATCGGGTCATGTTTGACTCTCATTACATCTCATAGCTTGCATTGACCTCCGCCTTAGTGTAATGCATGCATTGTCATTGATGCTTACTTTTGCCTCCGTTTACGTTTGACACCGTCGTAACGTGGGAGCTGTCTCCATTCTCTTTGGCGGGCTATCATTCTCACAGATCTGAAAGGTTCAAACTCGTTCGTTGACCTGTCGTTTTGTCTCAGCAACACAAATCACATGCAATTTGACATTGTGTTATCCTGCTATCTGTTAAGGTGATGGCGTTTGCTTCGGTATCGGGCAGGCGTTCATCGAGTTACTCGTCGGACACAATCGGGCGCCCGTTGCGCGGACGGAGCCTCTTTCCCGCACCCACCGTCATCCCACCACTCGCCACGTGGCGCGACAATGCGCGTTTCCTCTCCTCCCACCCTGTCGCAATCCGTTTCGCCTTCCTCTGTGCCTACGCTCGCCACTCGGGGCTCCGGCAACTGGGCCTGCAGCTGGTGAGCGCGCTGCGCTACCCCCTCATCCTAACTCACCCCGCGCCACCTCCTCCCACCGCATCGGTGGTGCCTAAGCCACTACACCTCAACACCTTCACGGGTATTGAGCTCATCAGCGTGCGTTTTCTAGTCCGGTGCCTCCTGCAGTCGATGGACCGGTGCGATTTGCTCTCAGGTGCGCAGTGACTTCTCCATCTACTCAATGTTGTCCTCTTTCATGCATCCAATTAGTGGTTAAAAAGTTGGCCTTTCTCATTACCAATGTGTGTACCTACGTCTTGGTACATCTAGTCAGCTTAATCAGGTAACTGGACACGCATTGAATGAACAGGCTTACCATCAGTACACAGCCTATCAACTCCAAAAATGACGCTGTTTTTTTTATTCCAGAGTGAACTTTTGATCCGTTTTATTCTTACCACGGGATCATTTTGATTTATCGGATTGCTGATTTTACCAAAGACATCCTACTAATTCCATGCATTAAGTAGAATTATTACATTTATCGAACTGGATACAAATGTGTTGTTTCGTGTGGGGCGTGAATGGACGGTCACATGATTGTCCCATCACGATGCCTAATCCGAGCTAGACTGTGCTACCCTGAATTGTAGTCCGTGTCCCACGTCGCATAAATGCGTGAATGTACGTCCATCTGATTGGGGTATGTTTGTGGTGTTCGCCTTTCAGTGAACTTGTGGCTGATAGCTTCGTGGGACTTTAGTTTCCTTCCACTCAGCCCGGAATTCTGTCAGGGTTAGAAATATTTGCGTCCTTTAATTACACCGTTTTGTGTTCTGCCTGCCCCTTTTGGGGGTTGGTGGGTACAGTGGGTTTTGTATGTTTAACTCACACCATTGGGCTGGGCTTTATCCAATCAGAGCTTACGCGCATATCAATTGGCTACAGCTGTTCATAAAGCGATCAGCTGTTCGTTCGCGTGTTAGAACGCGTGACTGCGTACTTGTGGTGCCAACACAAAGGAGGCTTGTCGTTTAGGGAGTCTCTACGACACACTCCGACTCCTTTTTACGTGCATTTTTCCGATGGCCTAGGTGAAACCCACAAGCAAACCACTAAATTTCACGTTTACTGAGGATATTATTTTCCCCGTGACAGTAAACGTTACTTATTGCTTCGAGTTAAAGGTTTTTGTTAAGACTGTTGTGCTTCATGACCTCTCTCTCTCACATTCACTTCCGTTTTCACAGATAATAGATTTTTTATTCTTACGTGGCCACCGTAGTGTCACCAGGCGGTGATACTGGCAACCACATCGTTAAAGATCCAACAAACATTCTTCAAATTTGTAAGGTGATGCGGTTGGTGTGTCTGCATACAAATGTCCAGCACGTATATGTAATTGGCGGACAAATCAAGGCATATCACACCAACCTGCTAGGTGGATACGTCGAAAAATCTTTACGCACTAAACGTCAATAGGCATTAGCTTGTATGATTTAGTATAACTAATTTGGCTCTCTTTCGACAGGCCTAAGTCTCTTGACGAATCTACTCCGTGTTCCCGAGGGCGTCAACGTAGAGTGTCTCTTTGCGGGTCTTCCGCGCTCACTCTGGGGACGTCTGATCCAGTTGCTCTGCCTCTCAGATCTGGCCGTGGTGTGCGCTGTCCTAGAGGCCCTCTACACGGCCACTGGAATGGGCTCGCTTGCGTGCACTCGACTCTGGCATGCCGTCGCCTCGGCTGACGACACGGTGTCTGAACGCTCTCCGGCCACTGTCTTCACCGCCCGACGAGCCTCCATCCACCTCCGTCCTCTGATCGCTCTGCTCAGTCTCGAAGGACAGTCTATGGGAACAGGGTCGCTGCATCGTGTCAAGGTACTTTTGCATATCGTCGTTTAGCGTCGTTCCACTTCAGGCACTCGATTGTTCCTGTTTTAACAAGGCCATGTTTCTGCGAATTTATCGTCAAGTTGTCTGATAGATGCTGACCCAATCAATCCTTAACTTTATGTTTCTCGGTTTCAATCCGTTAACAATGCGGTTAAGTATGAAATTTTAAATGGGCGCGATTGGCTATTATGGTGGCAAGGTGTTCTTGATGTAGTTTGCTTCCTTCCAGGTGATGCAACGCCAGCCGCAGCCAATAATCGCCCAGGTCCCTCCTCCACCTGTTGTGCAACCACCACAGGCACCACTGCCGCAAATGATGGTCGCTCCGTCTCCAATGCACCCGGTCTACCAACATCATCTTCATTATCCCCAACCGCATCACCCTGTTCAACCGCCCCCTCCACAATATCTTCCCTCCACCGTGCATCATCCAGCCCAGTGTTACCCCATTTCGCCACTACCGGGTCCGCATTTAGCACCTTCCCGGCCCAGTCCTCAGGTGCAGCCTCGTCCCCTCTCCCCACATCCACCCTCCTCCCTCGCGAGTCTCCTCGGCACGGCTGCGGCTCCTCCGCGTCCGCCACCCGTAGCACCGCCGACCCTCTGTGTGCCGCCGCAGGTTGCGAATGTCAAACCGGAAGCCAGCAGCCTCTCCGAGCTGACAGATCGGCTGCAGATGCCTCCACCGCAAATGCCACCACCGAGGCGGACTCCCTCTAAGCTCAACCCATGCGGTAATGGCGGTGGTTCACCCAGTCGATTCTCACTGGTTAATGGGAAAAGTAAGTTGCCAAATTCCAGTCTCCGATTAATCTGGCCCGCAGTTTGTTCACAAGGCTGCCTTACCTGTTTAGCACCTCCTCAAACCACAGTAAACTCGCCGGTCTCCACTCCAACTCATCCTCCTCAGTCAAACGAGAAACCTCCTAAGTCTCTGTTAGAAGAAGTGCTAAACGCACCCTCCAATAAGGCAGCTACCTCACCCCTTGCGTCTCCTCGTAATGGGCCCCCACTTGTCAACGGCGGTGGCACCGTTCACCATGTTGCCGGTGGAAACGGCATCAAGAAGGAACTCCTTTCAAAGTGTCTCTCGACCAAACTTCTCAATGGTGAAACCACTCCGATCAAGAAGGCTCACCAACAGGTCGGTGCATGCCTTTTCCTCTCGCTTAAGTTTGATTCGGACCGTTTGAAATAGTTAGGTGTCTAAAAGTTGCATTTCTAAGTCGCTTCGTTAAGACGAAATAGTTGGCATGCGAGTCGTAATAGTCAGCTTACAGGATTCGTGCTCGTTGCGTGTTTACATCCTTGAACTCGGAGCCCTGCTACTCTTCTCAAGACTACGATGCGTTTTCTACAGGCGGTGGGTAATCCAGGGGAGTGGTTAGTCCTGAGAACTTTCTAACTTCGTGACACGGCTGGTGGGCACTTTGCGACGTCAAGGTTAGCATTGTCATGGACAGTAATCTTTAAGTTGCCGTCACCGTTGTTTTCGTTTTTAAATCGTCTTCCTCGATTCGTTAGCAGCAAAATTTTGCTTTTTTCAAAGTCAGGCAGTCTTCGTATACACTTGTGCTTCTTTAAATTATCCTGCACTCCAGTCGTCATTAATTTGTTGTTTAATGCTTATTTGAAGCCGAACTAAGGGGAACGCATATTTACGTGCGCATGTCGTGCTAGTTGTGTTGCTTTATGCGTAGAACACTCGAATGCTAAATTGTCTCTAGTGCTGCTGATAGACAATGTTTCTTGAAACTTCGTAAATCCTCGAGTTGCTCACGGCGCTCATGTTGTGAATCGTGTTTATTCACACCCCTTAATCCGGTCGCTCCACCCCCGACTCAGGGTTCCTCTTTTCGCAGCATGTGGCCAGCCGCGCGGATCCTCAACTCCCCCCTCATTCACACGGCTATTTGGATTACCTTCACGCCTAGGTCTCGATGTTAGCTGATCTGACTCGCGCATCTGAGGTATAAATACACACGACGCCAACGTGGTTGAGCTCTGAAGTAAACGGTTGTGTCCACGTCCTCTCCGGTCTTTTTCTTTATCACGGGTTTCCGAGAGGCGTGATCGGGCCAGGGTTAATTCCGTGGCCCCGGCGTGGTTCAAGACCACATGCTGGGGTCCCTTTTATTGATGCCGAAAAAGGCGCCGCGGAAGGCATTTCTGCTTCCACCTTGCTGGCAACACTCATGAACAGCTCAAAAATAACCGTGCTGCCTGCGTAACGCTCACTGAAACGATTTGCTCTCGATTTTCGGGCTCACGACTCACTAGGGTCAAAATACTTTACAAAAATAACACCGCTCAACCACACTTTAATATGGTAATCAGTAAATATTTTTACGCGACTTTGTGCATCATTTAAGTTGTTAATCTCTCTGTTTGGATGTTGTGGTTTTTGCTTGGGTATAATTCGTGCCATTTCAGTTTGTTTTTTTTTTCACCACTAAGTCAAAGCGTATTTCATGGTGCTGGAAAAAGATCATTGGTCGAAGTGGCGCGCAGGTAGTCTTAAAACTACGCGATTGGATGGTTTCTATGGCCTTAAGGAAAAAACGGCATGTTTTTCCGTTCTAGGCTAAGGCGGACGTTCAGCAGTTAGTTAATGGTGTTGCGCATGATGATGGTGATGAAGAAAAAGAGGAAGCCGACCTCGAGAAGCCAAAGGACACGGATGACGTGGAGACCCAGGAGGTCGTCGAGAAGGGTTTGATGGAGGCTGCGACGTTTTTGACGCACTTCCTGCGCTTCAATCGCCGGGTGGGTTTCTACTACACACGGAAACGGCCCCGTGACTTTGCGTTGCGTCATCGTTTTCTCAAGGACACCGGCACCGACTCCTCGTTGGTGAAGAGACGGCGAAATCTCGTGAAAACCGAGCCGCACACCGATGGAACTGTCGTCTCACCGAAGCCATCATCGTCACCACCACCGCCGTCGTCGTCACCACCTCCTCCTCCACCACCCGTGTTCACCTGCGAATGGGGCTCGTGTATGCAGCAATTTCCTTCCGCCAAGCAGGTGCGTTTCATCACCGTATTTGTGCTACATCATGGACGCTTCTAATAGTAGTCGCTGTTTTGCGCAAGACAAAGAATGCGACAGGCCACCTCTTAATCACGCCTTTAGTTTATTATCTTGTGTCCTTGAACGACTAACGGACCACCCTGCAAAACGTGATGTTAATCACCAGAATTTTGGCCAAATTTTTCCTGGCAGAATACTACGAAGAGAAGCCCTTGTCTCCTTGCCATTAATTGTTGCTTTGTTCAAGCACGTGCACCATTTTTGCCAAAACCCACGAAGTATTTGAGTTTGCGTCAATCTTGAACACATTTCGACTGAATGGTCCCTTTAATGGTCGCTTTGTGGACTCCGTCCTCATTCTAAGAACAGTAACGTGCTTCACACAGAAAACTTTTCTTGTCTCCATTTGGTAATCTCCAAAACAGAAATCGCCCTGTAGATGCCACATCCAGCTTCTCTCTATCAAAATCGTCTCTGGGTGGGATTGTGAATATGCATTAAGTGTGATTATTTGTCGTAAAACAAATTATTTGCCGGTAAAATGGATATTTCGCGAACAGTTTCGCCTCCACAAAAACCACCCGCTCTGGGCGTAAGTTTGGTAGCTAAGGGCGGGCAACTTTGTGCTGCCAAGCTGATTTTGGTGCGCTAGGCACGCACACCTCTTTGCCCACATGTCGCTACATTTGGAATTCTTTGCGCTCTTAAAGAAGAAAAAACTGAAGACATCAAATACCTTTTGTGCTGCCGTTTATTAATCACTGACATCAAAAGGCAGCTTCGCAGTGCCTTTATGCCTAAGTCATTAATGTTAATCATGTTCATAGATCAGTGTTTCTTCTTCGGTGGAATCTCGGTGTCTTTTAGGATTGGATCTGGTGCCAAAATGGAGTTTGAAAAAGCAGCTAAACTGATCTGATTCTGCTTTTTGGAAAGTATTCCTCTTCAGGCTATTTTTGTTCGATTGTTTTCCCAGATATCCTGTCATGTGTACAAGTTCCATCTGAAGCCTGATCTCCCACCCCGTGTCCCCACCACCCCGATCGAACGTCGATGTTGTCAATGGACTGACTGTGCCTCCTCTAACCTCCCGCGTGCCCCGTTCGCTTTGATTTCCCACGTTCTGGAGCAGCACTGTTCCCCCGAGGAACTGGAGTCTCGGCGTCGGTCAATGGCGTCTCCCCCTGCGCCGCCGCCGCTGTCGTCGTCTCAGGTGCCACCGCCACACCCCTGCCCGCAGCCTGCCACGCCAATTCGAGATCAGTCAGGCTGGGTGGTAATCAAGGAAGTCGAGACTCGACGTCTGCAGTCCGACCTCTGGGTGTCGCAGGTTGGGTTTAGCGGAAGGTACTACAATCCCGGCGTTGGACGGATCGTACCGCCACCCAGAGAAGGGCCCGTCACGAAACACCTCCGAGTTACTGCTGCTCTCATCCTCCGAAATCTGGCCAAACACGTTCCCGAGGCCAGACGGTGAGTCCTGCCTTCCATACCATGTTTTTCTTCCGATGTAGGGTGACATGCAGGCAGGCCCCACTAAAGTTGTAATTCTCATCCAAGAAGGTACGATGACACAGGTATTAGACACGTTCGGCTGTCATGCGTCATCTGTTGTCCTGTTGTGCTTTCTTTTATCATTGAAAAGCGTATGGTTGCTTGTTAAATTTTGTTCTAAGTGTGTGTGCGCTGTTAATGGCATCTCCATGTTGCCCTTCCACAGATGGCTCTTATCGGAGACTCCCCTTCTCTGCGAGATCGCAATGGGCACTTGTCCTGGTGCATCCAGTCTGCGAACAAATGACGCGGGTCGTATCATCGCCAGTTGTCTAGCTATATGCACCTCGGGCAATTCCTACCCCTTCTCCCCATCCTTGTCCTCTGATTTCCACGATTTCTATGATCTCCACACCTCCGGCGATGATGGGGACCTTGGCGGTGATTTGTCCCTCCTTCAGCGTCTTGAACTCATTCGACGACGAGCCTCCGTCGATTTGGACGCTTAGGATGTCTCTGTCTAGCATTCTTTCCCTCGTGCTGTAAATTTGACTCGCGTTTGCTGCATTTGATGACCGTCCCTTTGTGTAAAGATTCCTTGCCCACCTCATTGTGTAATTTTGTGTGCGTGTGTTTCATCGTTGCTCCACAGTCGCGCGCTGTCTCTCCACGCACCACCTCGTTCTCTCCGGTTATGTGTCTCTCGTGGAGTGTTTTTCAGGGCCACTGTGTCATCACTACTAGCACGGTAATCTTGCACTTGCTGGCGCTTTGCCGCGGCGGCGTCGGCGATGGCGTGTGTATAATTTGGGGAGTTTTTGTTAATTACCCGCTATTACTACGATTAATACTGCAAAAAATACTATACTATCTCAATATTATTAAAACAAATTTGTTTTGAACAGATTTCACTTTCAGTTATCTATTCGGGGGTACGTGCAGACAGAACTGTCGCACTTGCGTGAAGCACATTTGTCCAGGTGAGTTTGTCGACCTTCGCACGGGACGGGGTCGCTGCCAGTTGAGCAGTCACCGATTTCTCTACAGGTTGTGCCTAGTCGGGCGCTGTTGATCTCCATACGTGGATAGGTAAGCGAATTAGAGCGATTTGCGGAGACGGAGGGCGTTGAATCGTTCACTGGATCCGGCAAATCCTCTTTGACACGTTCTTCGACAGAGACCTTGTTCAACGCCTACGCACTGCTACCTCCCGCTTCGCTCGGCAAAGCTATCACCCTTGATGGTTGCACCTTCGAGAAGCCAGATGTAACCTTCGGTCGAACTGTAATAGGCGATGGAAGACCGGTTAAATTGTGCACTATCAATGCTGACTTTTAGCTCCGCCAAACCCAAATCGCGTTTCTTGCAGAAACCCTGAATATCCCCGCAATATTTTGTCAGGTGTGGGTTCACATATCTAGACTTCAACTAGTGGCTTGCATTCGGACACAGCCTGAAGTATCCTCTTTTGTAGTTATTCACACGTGAGACCTATTTTAATTTAGCTGGACGAGAACATAATATTTGTGACTGTCCCAAAACATCGTTCATAAATTGTCCAAAATGCCATCAGGATGCTGCGGTGAGCAGCACGCGAACGCAGTTAGCAACCGGGAGCGAACATGATTCCATTGATTTGCGTGAATGTGCTTCGCCTAACAGTCCTAGCTCGAAGGAGTCTAATTTGGGACGATGATTACCCTAAACCCTGTGGCAACCCCAATTGAGAAATACACTTTGAATGGTTCTGGCTTTTACGAAGGTCTTTAATGATATCCGGTAACGCCCAGGAATTAATCAACTTTAATCCGCGCTCTGAACTTTTATTTAACTGCTGTGCATTTCTTTTAGTGCGGCCTAACCGTCAATTCGGCCGCGACTGTCGACGCTAGCGCAGGTTTTCGCATCCTGGCAATGCCTAGCGGGCTGGAATGTGTGCAAAATAGCCATAAAAGCCCAAGTCACACATCGTACACTTGAAGTGGGTTACTCTCTCTCTCTCTCTCTCGCAGTGTAGTGTGCAATGTTGAGTCCAAAGTTTGCGGTGGGTTTCGTAACCATAGTGCGGCGAAACCTCGCGTTGTTTTAATCAGGACCAAATTCGAAGCTCATTTTTGTGTGCTACGAGCCGATAATGAGTTTTCGCTGAGTCAGTTTCTCATACTACAACTACCCTCTAGAGGAAAGTTGCAGTCAGTGTTGTGCAACTTAGATTAAAACGATTACCGATTTAGCTACACTTGCCTTGCTGTGCAGGTGGGTTTGTGTACCTTTGACACTACTTTGCACGCAGTTGTGCGCCGCAACCAATCAACGCTGGAGTTGTCGCTTAGTGAGCGTGTATGTGCGTTTCAGTGTTAGATTAACCTGTAGGTGAAAGCTAGTTTTGAGAAAAATGGGTCGATGTGTATTTGCAAATATGGAAGTCGCACTCTAATACTTGCGTCACTGTAAACACAACCCAAATAATGCCAATTCTGCAATTAAGGCCTTGTCACAAGCAGCAGGTGTAGTTACAACCTGGGGTGCTTTGAGCATTGCGGCATCCCAAATTCCAGCAGATCTGGTGGTTTCCAGCTAAATTCAATCCAACTCGTCTGCCCCTCTGGGTAACTTCTGTAATGCTTTGATTCCGTCGAATTCACGAGAAATTAGAGCACCTTAATTGGCAAGTGGGTGGGGTAGGTTTTATGCAAAATTCATCTTTCTTGCATTGGACCTCGTGCTGAACCTGCTGACAGGTTTACAAGGCCTTGGTTTTCGTCCAATCAGTGTGAAGTCTAGTAGTTTCCAAGGTCAGTATCGCAGACTACCTTGAATTCAAGGTTTCATCACGTGGTCTCAGGTGACACACCCTTTTCGGCGTCTTGGCGCTACACACATGCAACAAACTGCCTGTTACCTTTGCTCAGACTGACTTATGAGGCAGACTCGTAATAGCGAGGGTGTCGAACACTGGTTGGTTTCTTCGCGAAGGGAAGTGGAAATTTATTCGTTTAAAAGGCTACAATTTCATGCAAAATCAATCAAGTTTATTGGTTTAAGTGTGCATGTCCTTTAGTTGGTCAAATGAGAACTACGTAAGATGAAGCTGATCTGTGAAGTAACGTGGTGCAGCGATTCGGACAGATTCTACTCGCTGATGCCAATCAAAACTCCAAGGTGGCTTGCCGTAGTCATTCCTGATTGGACAATATTGCAGTCTCCGAACTCGGCCCCTCGGGATTATCCGCAAGAGTGAAAAAGATTGGTTATGAAGACAATTTCAACATTAAACAAAACAGCTGAGTATGATAAAAAAAAAAAAGGCACAACATCGATGTGTGCGTGTGCTCAGTCTGGCCAGATCCAGCAGTGAGTCGGTGGGTGAACTGATAAGACCACAGAGACTAACGCTGAGCATTTGACGGGATTACTGGCTGCAAACCGTAACGAAGTAAATGAAGGCGTGAGAAAGTTGTGGCCCGACCCTTACAGTGCGTTTTACTAGCTTGTATACCCTTAGTTGGTTTTGGTAGCAGCGGTGGTCCTCCATGTGTGTTTGTCTTAAAACAACATTCAATTCCTAGTCGATGCAAACATGCCTCATCACTCAGTTCCCGAGGCAGACGATAACTCATTTTATATTTGCCAATATTTGACCATCATAATGGGGGTTGGGCAATTAAAACACCAGGCGTTTTGATCCTAAAGAGAGGCGGAGTTTGGGGTCACATTAACCAGTGGTTTGGTGGACGCGACAACTCAACGCAATCCAAGTCCTCATCGGCAGGCCACTGAAAGCCTTCAGGCAACTCTCCTCACCGAAATCTGTCCAATATTCAAGAAATATAGATGACTGGCAAAAATCACGCTTGTTTTTCACAAAGAGCGTGTTCTACTTTGGTGACTCCTATAGGCAGTGGGTCGTAGTCTACGAGATCAACAACTTCCCTACCCTGATTCCCATTTGCGTGAAATCACTTTTTGATCTACGATCGATGAACAAAGTTAAATGGACGCAAATTGACGGTTATTAAGTAAATAGGTCATAAGTCGGCAATGTCTTGAGCAAATCGTGTAACCAGGATTTCCAACGAATGAAGTGCTTCTTGCCTGAGAGTTGCTTTGACAACTAATCATGTGGGCGTATCGCGGGAACAGCTGATCAGCACGTGCTTGCACTTTAAGCATCAGCAGCACCTTAGCACGCTTAGCGGCCGCAATCAAGGCCACTCTAAATGGTCACTAGGAGTTAGTTCATTTACACCCACTTTTCCCTTTCCTGCAAAACCCTAAACGTAATAAGTGCTGTAACATCCTCGTAAAACCTTTGTCCGGCAAAGTTAATTTGCGATCTTAATTGATTTCAACAAGATGATGGTAATTGTTTGGCAGAAGAGAGGATTAATGCTACACTACACACGATAGAAATACGTCGTAAATATATCCAAGTTAGTTGAGCAGTTAGTAATAAAATAGCGAAATGGCAGCTAGCATGACATTGTAAGATTCCTACTAGCTTAGACAAATACTCATTCACCCGGCTCTAAGCGCCTTCGTGTTTCAGGCGTTTTGGCTGCTGATGTCGCTAAACGCATGCATGCACACACACGCACGCACCCTCGCTTGTGATAGTTCGGCCCGTTCAGGGCACACAGGCACGAGGCGCGCGCGTGCGCGCCACGCGGGCTAAATCGCCTGGCTATGGTGATTCGCACGGTGATTGGCAGCCACGACCTGCTTGCGTCTAATTGGTTAGCCAGTTGTGTGTTAGTAACTGCAAGGCAAGACTACGCGCATCAAGCTGGTTGTACTTGTTTCGGATAGCGGATACATTACTGTTGTTTCTTTACTTTTAACAACCAAATTGAGGAAGATAATTCAGGCCCAAAATCTACGATTATTTACTACTCAAGTCTGCTGTGAGTAGGATTAGCTGATCTGCTAATTTAAGTGCAGTTAGTCCTTAAAGGTTAAAACCAACTTGGCTGTAGGATTCATTTATTCGTCCTGCTATCAGCAAATCACATTAAATGAGTGAGACGACGGCATATCACAGATGAGTCAAATTTGCACTTTTCTGGGGGTTGAATAGGCAGAAATAGTAAAACTATTATGCACTAAACAATACGTGAGGAATTAAAGGCGTTACTGTTTAATCCATGTTAAATTAGAACACACCAGATATAAGATTTGTGACGAAACGTGATCGCATCAGATTAGTAACAGTTGATTGGCCCAGATGTACGGCAACACAACCAAGAACGGAAGATTCATCGTTTGAACGAGAAAATAAACCCACGGATTACTTAAAAGGAAAAACCGGCCTTTAGCTGTTGTTAGCCGTGCTATCAGCAGTCTCCAGCTGAGTAATCAACCGGATAACGAGTACGATGTGGGCTATTCATCCACCGGACCGAATGCAAAGTTGGCTGCGCAGATTGGCTAAGCATCATCGTTCCAGATCTACCTGGATGGGAATCTGTACAATAGTGAGCAGTGAACGCCCTCTACCCCAGCTAACTACCACCAATACCATTGGGATAGTGCAAATCTGGATCCGTTGCGCACCCCAAGAGACCGAATCCCTCCTTTGACGGCTTCCATACGTCGTTTCCAGGTCTCATTCTACCGATAATCCCATCAATTCCTTAGATAGAGCTAATTTACGCAGTAACATTCCTTGGGTCGCGTGTTAGTAGTTCAAATCACACAGACCTTAATTATCCGTAAGCATGAACTTTAAGTAAGGAGAAAAGCCATTTCTCGCTTACTTTCCCCATCGAACATAACGCCAACACCAAGTTCGACTACCTTCAATGCTATTTAAAAAAGCCCTTGCCATTATTGGCGCGAGATTTAACTCAAATTTGAATTTATTTTTCGAATATGGCAACGGATAGATCGTTTTAAACCTATTTTTAAGAAAGGAGCTACAAATGTAACACTTGTGCCCACATTCACTTGCTAACTACACTCACACAAAAATAAAGCCACGCAATCACAAGACGTCCAGAAAGAAAGAAAAAAAACACCCAGATAATGCAGGAGAAAGCAACAGCACGGAAGAAGGCGGTTGTGAGGGTGGGGGCTCACACAGTCTGTTAATCACGGTTGTTTTCTGACGAAGCGAACAAGCCCTGGATAATCTCTGCGTAGTGCGGTCCGAAGACGTGCCGATTGTGAGCGACCAGAGGCATCAGACGCGAGGCGATCAGCGCCAGGTCGTAGACGCGGGAGAGGTCGGAGGAGGCGGCGGCGGCAGTGGAGGACGAGGCGTCGTCGCCGCCGTCTGGCAGCCTGTGGGCCGGTGGTCGCTGCAGAGCGCAGACGCTGGGATCGAGGGGAACAGAGATCTGGGCGCCGAAGCCGGTCGGCAGGGGTATCGGATCGGGCGGTCGGGCGGAGATAGTTGAGCGCACGAAATCAATGGCTCGGGTGACTGAAATACGCGAAATGCGACAACTGTTACACAAAACGACTACTAATTCATTTCAGTAGCAGGTTTTACACAACGGAGGTCTTACGCATGAGCTTGTGTACGGGATGCTCCTTGTGGAGAACCGCGTTGATCTGGGCTGTGAGTTGATCCTTCAAGTGGCCAGGAAGGGCGTACTCCGGAGCAACGGGACGCAAGACGTTCTCGACTTCGCCTAGAGGAGTAACTGTTGCATCTTCGAAGTGCTTTTCGCTAAGCGATTCGCGCCAATTCTCGATGACCAGAATCATGCGTAGACTAAGCTCCTCAGCCAGTTGAGGAATTTTGCTAAAATAAGGATACAACAAATTTACCCTCAGGCCAAGTCATCGACGCTTCCTGCACGCGACAAATAAGCTAAGGCGCCAGATTAAAAGCAGCGCGAAACCACGCTTCAGTTGGCTAAAACAAGCGGTGCTCACTCGGCCGGCATGCCGTCAATGATGCCCTTGGCATCGCGACAGACAACACCCTTGAGTTGGGCCATCGGCGCTTGAGGCAGGACAGAGGGGGTTGCCACGGCGTGAGGCGGGATCAGGGAGACGTGGTTGGACGCCACGAAGTTGCACACAACCAGCACCAGCGAGGCAAGTGTCACCGTCCGAGCGAGACAGTCGATCAGCTCGCGTATCCGTTTCGAGTCCACCGTCATGGTCTACAAGAGGCCACGAAGAAGGAGGAGTTGTGTGTGGGGAGGAGAGAAAAAAACCACGGCGAAAAGAAGGAGTGAACGTGCCTCGGGGAACTCGCTGTCCGACGGCCAAGTGAGCAGAGCCAGGTAGGCCTCGCGGAGGATGTTGTTGGGGGTGAGGGAGAAGGCGGTGGCAGGGGCGACGGCCCGGGAAGCCCCAGGCTGGCTGGGGGGAGGCGACTTGGCCAGCTCCTTCAGCTTCTCGTAGGCGTGTCTCAGCCACTGACGGGTTACCGCCAGACCGTCGATTCCGGCCTCTAGAGAGGGCGACAAACACACACACACACAGCGTGCAGGCCTCGCCAAATCATCGACTCGTGCACGTACATCCCACATTGTGATTCGTGATTTGAGTAAAAATAACGACACAACTACGACTCGCACTAACCAATCAAAACCAACCGCTATAAATACGACCTTACTGTCTTCTGATGTTACATCCTGTTCAGTTTTATGCACCTCGTCTCGAGAATGGGATAAACTGTGGCGACAACCCATGCCTGTGTCATGCATTAAATGTGAACCATTGTCTCATGCTCTCCACTCACAACATCCACTTGACTTCAAGTTAATGCGCTTTCGAAGGACATGTACTTTCACAATCAAGTAATTTTTTAAGAACTCAACTCCTCTATCCACCAGTTAAAAGGCCGTTTTGCACGCATACAAACAGCTATGTTACGAATCAGCTGACCAATGATATCTGAACACATGTCAACATTCTTTGGGGAAGTTCAACTGAGAGACCATCCTAACTGTACGTTTTAGTAAAGTGAATGGCAGGATATAAAATCAGGGTTGTAAACGCAGATTTGAAGTGAAGGCTACTTGAAAATTGAGCGAAACAGCTAATTATAACGTCGATCGAAGACAGATGAATGCACTTAGAAGATCCATTTCATGGTTGGACCGATTCCTCACTATTTCCTGACTCTTCTACTACTGTGGTGGGGCGATTTTAGAACCACAGATAACCGAGGCAAAGTCCTTAGGTAAGGCCTCATTTAATTGGATGAAAGGTGACCAACTAGATTTACGCTAAGGTCGTCGAGCAGAAAGTACACATAAACAAGAACCTCGATTGGCCCATTGGGATTGTCCAATAGGGAAACAATAGCGAGAAACCGATTAGTAAAAGGGCACAAAAAAGGATACCAAGCCCGGCTTACTCTTTTGAACCTCCAGAAGCGTGTCAAACTTCTCGCGTTCATACTCGCCCGCCTGCTGTCGAATGTAGGGGCGCATCTTTTGAATGGTAAAGTTGGCCAGATCCATGTGCATCAGATCGAGGACTGCAAAGGCTTGCCTACAACGCACACACACGCACACACGAGCAAACAAATACTGAGGCAATGTAATAAACACACAGTCATAATTCCAAGGGCACAAACTGACGGGCAATTAAATCCAGCCATCTTGCACACCAGAGCACCGTCTTAAGACATGGTGTTCTTAAAAATCCTTGATGTGGATATTGAACTTGACTTTATGAGATCTCCAAATTCCTTTTTTTAAAACTAGCCCAAGTCAAGGTAGTACCGTGTATGATAATAATCCCATGTCATAATAGCGCGCTAGTTTTGACAAAAGGTGATTGGCACAAACAGCGAGATATTCCATTGGTCCGAGTAAGTAAGCATTCGCCAATCAATTTGTCCCAAGTCATGGGAATGAGATCCGGGCTTGTCCGAATGGTGGAGCCCGTTTGCAATCGAAAAGTAACCCCACTTAGACAAGACTAGACATGCGAAAGCACAAAGTAACCATATCGGCGCACCGTGCACGTAGGAATTCCGCCAAATCACGTACAGCTTAGAAGTGCATAAGAGTTTCGACCACACGCTCTTAGGGGTCAATTAAAAGCCATGTCAATTCTACAATTGCGTTGGTTTCAGTCAAAAGCTCATTGAGACAAATGAGCACTTCCGCTCATTTGCTCAGGCAAAAAAGGTTAGGATCAGCTTCAGGGAGATGGCAACTTGTGTTTGACAAATGTGTCAGTGTGCAGTTGTTCAGAGTTCAAAGGACAAAGCATCCATTTCGACCTTCTGACAAACCAACAACTGCTGCCCACGCTTGAGTGCTGACGTCGGTACGCGTGGAATCCGACCAAACTTCGACGACAACCGATGCAGACAAAAAAGGGGGTTTACCTAAAGAATTCAATAGGATCGGAGATGCTGCGGAGAGAGGCGATATCAGCATCGCGAACAGGAGCGCACAACTCGGCCATGGTTTCGATCACGGGCGTCGCGAACGCCTCGAGGCATATTTTGCCTGTTTCATTCAACTGGGCCTCTGCGGACTCCAAATCCAGACGCGCGTCGATTTGGGAGCGCAGACTCACTTGGTGAGGCAGGGTCAGGCCGTGCAGAGACTAGAAGGGTCAAAATGCAGGGCGTGTGTGCATCCAGAGATGTGGAACTGCGTGGGTGAACGCGTGGCCAGCGTCGATATCGCTAGGTTGCTTCACAACCAGTGCCACGGCGCCTTGAAGTCAACCCTCTGAGTAGGATCTAGTCATTTGAGCATTTGAAATGGCTACTTTCATTTGATGAGCTTCACAGCTGCCTTGGTGAATGGTTAAGTGCACCAGCTCCTACGTTGCCGCATGACGGGAATCGCGCCAACACCGGGTTCGAATAATAACTACATGCTACACCACGAAAGGGATTTCTTGGTGAAGTGAGGCAACAGTTGCCGCACTAACAGAGAGGGGGAGGGCAAAGTTGTCAACCAATCCACTGAGGGAGTTTTGTATAACACAGAATCGCGCACCTCTGCAACAAGGCTCCACCCTTAACACTGGAAAGGGAAACGCGATTGAGGCAAGCGCGGCAGCAGACTACAATCAAGCGGCCTGTGAAATCGCCTAGGAATGACGTCATAGGGCTGTTTGACGCACTACCGTGATTCGTTTGCAGGCATCTCCAGTTTTGAAGTTGTCAATTTGCAAAAGTACGGAATGTGCACACCAACCACGCGAAGTCTAACCAAACCGGCGGGATTTTGCACGCATTCAACATGTACTATTAGCACACTGTGTACTTTTACGTGAGAGTAGAATGACAGAAAGGGTATTCGCCATGGGAAATCCTTTAATAAAAGTGCCATCCAAAAGCAACGACCGCTTATTTGCACTCTGAAATAGCTATTCTGCATTGCACTGGATTTTTAGCTGAAAGTCGCCCTTTTGAGCACTCGATCTGACCGCAATTTGACGCTATCAAGAGACTGGTACGAGTTGACAAACATCGAGTAGAAGCTTTGACACAGAACCGCAAATAATTGGTTCTGACACAAGCTGCGAGATGCTATGGCTAGTCTAGATGGTGCACGTCTGATTTGAAAATTTCAATTACTGTCGCCTACTCAGATAATTGGCTTCAAGGCACTAGCGAGCAAGCTCATTAGCATTCGCAGCCGACACTTGTAAAGTCCAAAAGACGTGTTTGTACCTGCTTGATTTCTTTCAGTAGACTCAGAGCAGGGGCGTAGTTGGGTGGGTCGGCGTTTAAATGTGCCCGTTGGACGTCCCAGAAGGCGCGATGCATGGTCTCCTTGATGGTCTTCTGCATTCTGAACAAGCAAGAAAAAGACAACCGTCGTCATCTCGGCAGCAAAGTTACAAAACACGGCGACGTTCCGATGTCAACAAGGGGATGAGAGTATAGACGTGAAAAGGAGCTACGACTAGCTACTTGGTTTGGGTGGTTTTGATATATTTTGAGTGCGGCACAGTGATGACAATGTCCAATTGTTAGCCAAACCCAAAAATAACACCCCACAGAGAAGAGAGAGAGAGTTGGACTCACGGTTCTTGCTTGTCTTCATCTGGTTTTTCCACTTTAAAGTTCGCATCGACGCTGATCTCGTGGATGAGGGACATCTTGTAGAAATTGTTGGCAGCTTCGGCCAACTGATCAATTGACACATGTTGCAAGGGGGAGGCTAGATGCGAGTGAAAGAAGAAGACGATTTTAGCGCAAAATTAACCGTCAAAGGTGCTACGCTAGATGGTGTGAGAAGTATGCGCACGCGTGATCGGCTATCAGATGGAAAGCCACGTGCCTTGAATGTGTACAGAAACACACGCACAATAAATTTTGAAAAAAAGGTGGCATTAGTACTTTGTTGGGACTTTGACCAACACCTGCAGTGGGCATTTGCACTTCAGCTTATAGAACATGGGACTAAATGCATAAAAAGTGTGTTACGCAAGCGTGGTGACGAGGCAACAGATTTTTATCTGAGTCAATAACAAGTAAATGAATGTGCCTTTTCCACCTTCGACCACCTCCCTATATACTGGGTTCCACGGGATGTCATATACCCTCAAAACACTTAGAAAGCCACCTCTGATATATACGACGCAAGTATACACAACATTTCCTGTAAGTAAATGAAATTTCTAGCAGAGATGCGTCGAAATCAAACCCATGTTTCGGTGAAAACGCAATATCTTTTAAAAGACTAGAAGGGGAACGGGTACCGCGAATATTACTGTGCGGTACATTTAAGCTGTGGTCGTGTTCTCGTACTGATAGCAAAACAATCAAACATTAAAAGAATTAACGTGTCGAAAGCTCCTGCTTCTCAAACAAACCTAATGCTAATCCGCACCTATGACGTAGAACGAGGCATGTTTCAATTAAGACATGACAAAAACGACTGGCCATCAGTGATAGACTGGCTGTGATCCAAAAATGAAGGTGGACTTTCCACGAAAATAACAAGTAACAAAATCATTTCACACGGCGAAGCAGCGATGACTATGAAATGAAAAAGTGTGAAGCCAACCATAGTGCGAAATCATTCCGAAGCGACGATGAAACACCAGAATCAAAACACACAAAAGGGCCAAGAAAGTTGGCAGTTAATTAAGTTTGGAAATAAGCTAGAAGCTATCGGAAGCATCATAAATTGCAACATTCTAATTCAAAGAAAACACACTAAATATATGCAAAGCACTATTAGCAAGTGCACTAACAGCGGTGAGTATATGCTGGACTATATTTGCTGCATTTTGATAACATCGCGATTTGGAAGGCAGTAGATGAGGAAAGGGGCTGAAATGATGGGGAACAGAGCGGAATAACTGACTTGAATGAATCCTGACACAGTATTACACCAACTCGATAAGGATAGGAAATAGCGGCAAATCTTACGCGAAATTGCCATTGAGGTGTTATGAGGATGTGGACGAATATTCTTGCCAATTTCAATGCCGCCGACATCGGCGTCTTCTGGTGAATCTGTCTTGCTTGTTACGTGCTCCTGATCCGCCATCTGGTCACAAAGATCGCCCAGATCTACGTAAAGAAAAGGAAAAAACCGAAAACATTAAATACTAACAAACCTCATAGAGCAATGACTAACAAGGAGAAAACAAATGACCACGATACATTGGCTTGGGAAAAAATTGGTGGATCTCGACCCTCATCTTTTAGTTATTCTCCCATCGTTAGATTTGATGAACAGTAAAAAAATTCTGCACAAACAGAATAGTAGATATAAAGTAGTAAAATCTTAGGTTGCTGCATGCTTTTAACAGGCACAAAAGAGCTCGAAAGACAGTACAGAGCAAATGTCTATGAAATTACTTGAACGGTCTATTGACAGGAAGAAATTTAGTTGACTGTGACAATGTACCGTTGCTAAGTCACAATCAGTCAGCTTATGAAAACAACGACAATCATTTTCTAACAAAAAAGACAAATAAAATCATAAAAATAAAAAGGAAAGGGGCTACTTCCAGCAGTCTAGCAGGGTTAAAATATACTAGAGGCTCTCACAGCTGTGATAAGCAGCTACGTTCCTCACTATCGATCACTCCATACTTTTCACTTTCATGAAGGTCGATAAACATAACATCGACAAGCGCAGCAAAATATTGCTCCCCATACCATGTGACAAGCCCAGGGTAACAGTAGATAAAACCATTTTAAAAAGAGTAGCTAAATAAAAAATTGTCTTCACAGATCGCCCGGAGATGGAAACGAAGAACACAAATTAGAGTGTTTAGCAAACGTTTAGGTGATAATTATAACGCAGAGCAGGCGAGAATAAACATGACAAACATAAATCAATTGCAACATAAATTAGGGCCGAAAGTCTGTACTCGAAGGTCAAATACGGCGATCCACCATGAGTCACTCAAGTAACCAATGGAACACCTGAGATACAACAGTGTCAACGAAGAATGACCTTGACAAATTTGGTTACTTTGAGAGAAATTCCTGTAAAACTGTGATTCCAGCTACCATTTTGCAAAAAAGGGATTTAGTCTAATAAACTAAATTTAATGTCAATTAATAACATATTTAGGTGCTTTATTAATTTGTTGAAAAAAAACCAATAAGTTTGCCCGAACTTCGAATTTAAAAATTTAGCGGAAGTTCGACTGTCTCGATGACAGAAAAGGTGATAAGTAGCCGATAGTCATTTTAAATGTCCCTTGTTTTATTATCGCTAATTAAACTCCATGAATTTTTCATGGAAAGTTGATAGTTTGATATTGTAGAAATTAATTTTTTGGTACCGTTAATGAATGAAAAGTCGTTTAAGCAAATAGTGTGCCACTATTTAGATAAAACTAACGTCCGCTCCATTTTTTGCTCCACCTTTTCCGATAGTATCGGTAGGTTTAGGTTTAACTAGTTCTTTCTACTTGATGCCAAAATTTTGCACAGACGCAAGTTTATTGTGACAAATGTTTTTGTACGTCAAATTTTCAAGGCAGCAGATGATTTGTCTTAATTGTTAGTCAAGAAATGAGCTTAATTCCATTTTTATAATTAATAATTATTAGTGATTTCCAGAAAATCCACTTATGTCTGATGAGCGATTTTTTGTCACGTTGTTTGAGGTAACACTCGATATTAAGTTATGAGTCGCATTTAGTGTAATCGTTGATACTGACTTTAAAAGCATTAAAAGAGGAGAAAAAATTGCCTACTGTTTTGCATACATTTTTGGTGGACACGCCATTCCAAATTGTCAATAATACGTTTATCCCGTCTTTCCGCACACATTTACCTTTTAATAACTTATACAATTTGGTTTTGAGATTGATTTTATTTTGTATGATTTGGGCCACCAAACACTTCGCGTTTAATTAATTAGGTTTCATTATTGTTAAAATATTGGGAGGTACAAGAAAGCTGTAACTTAGCATAATTAATCAGTCAGCAATTAGAGTTGCTAAAGATATTTCCACTAAAAGTTACTTGCTTAATATTTTTTTTAAAATTTTATTATTCATATTGGAGCACCCAAGAAAAGCATGCTGAATCTGTGTTTTGTCAAAACATTCCAATATTAGATTCCTATATGATGAAATTTTTAAAAAAAAGATGATTGTTTGTTGAAGTTTTAATTGCATGTTCAAGTGCATGTTTAAAGAATCTCAAATAATCATAAAATATTTTAACTCCTTCCTATATACCTTTTATGTTACATTGACAAATGCGAAGACTAAAATTTAGACTCCGCAGATTACTTTAACTTTCTGCCGAGATGTTGTATTTAAGTCATATAAAATAGGTTTGTTCTCTTAATTTCAACTTTCGGATGTGCTCTGAGTTTTAAATTTTTCAGGTCAATAACGGAAGCGTTTCACGCAAAAATTGCTTGCCGTCAATGAATCTATAAACATTCTTTCGCTTACTTGATACTAACACCAATGATTCGATTCGTCATTTATATCGCCAATTTGAATTACGAGACTCAGCAAAATAATAGTAGCAAAAAGTGACAATTCACTGTCCATGTAACAAGAATGGAACAACAAATTACAAATCTCATAAATTTTTCTATAGTCAAGAATTTAAACCGTTTTATTAAAAAATGGGCAATTTAACAGGTTCCTTACTTAAAAAAATAATTGGCTTTATTCACAAGTTGATCCTAAAAACCCTAACATAAAATGAGACATTTCAAGCACATGAAAACGCAATTTACTTGAATTTTTTCTTAAAAAGCATACTAGCTCGCGAGTGGTAAGCTAAATTTGCAGACTTTTAAAGTTTAAGAACGGATTTCGATTCAAACTGTGAACGTCATCACACATAACAAGTGTAATAAGCACCAGGAAAAGTAACAGTGGATATACGCGCTAGAATCGAAGCACAGTAGAAAACAGCCAGAACGAGCAGATTTAAATTACAAATACGGTAAACTATACACAATGTGACAGTAAGTAAATTTTAAACGGTAAGTGAATGCAACAAACAATCACCACTTTGGAAAATTTTAAACAGCGCTTCAACGAAACTACTATAGTCAAACAAGGCAATTTATGAAACTAAGGTAATAAATGTTACTGCAACTTATTCTAAAACGTAAAATTCAAAAACTACTCAAATATTATATTTTCTAAGAGTACTTGTTAATTTTTACTGAAGTAAAATCCTGGATATCAATGGTTTACATTCAAACAGCACGAAATGCACAAGTAAGAAGTCAAGAGCAACTGGGTTCCTTGAAGAAAACACAAAAGATTTGCAAATTCATTTCCTGATCATCTGATTCTTCATTGCTTGTCTAATTGGGACAGGAAATAATGTTCCCTTTTTTTTAATGAGAATTAAGACCTCGCATTTGCAACTCTCAAACACAAAACTGCGCACCACAATATTGTATGAACATTAATTGCGATTGTGCACCTGATGAATGTTTCAAACGGAATTTCACTTTACACTCGTTATAATTTACACTTTTCACAGAATTGGAAAAAGTTTTGATTGGTTGCGGTAAAACTGACTGATAACTTCGGGTGAATTGAGTCACAGACACCTGCCAGTTAGGTAAGGGAACAAGCAGTGCATTCACCTATTACGACTGCGTTTTTTTTAGAAACGAGTAGTTTCGACTTGCACGCTGTCATGAGATCAGCCAAATGTTATTTTGGACCAGCAAATTATTAAAGGCAGACAAAAGTGTCAAGATTAACAGATGAATGCTCGATTGGCTTCATAAAATGGGATGGTTGGAATAATCAAGCCTGTTCTACTTTCATTATGTGCGTGTTAGATACTTAATGTCATTCGATGTCAGCGCTAATATTTTTAAATATTACACTTTGATCTAAAGTTCATGTGCGAAACAAAGCAAGCAAAACAGCATTTTATCTCAATTCAACTAAAGCAATTCTAACCGTCGTGTTCAAGGTCAGCCGTCGAGTTCGGGAATAAGATATTGTTATTCGTGTTGTCTGCTACACATTTTCGGAAAAAAAATTCCTCTTTTCATGTTTTACTGTTATGATCCACAGTGAAGCTTTACCTGCAATTTGCTCATTCTGTGAACTTTGGAAGCTGCAACAGCAGTCAGTCCGTTCGCAAAAGGTGCTAGTTTACCACGCATACTGCAGATTGGGTTTTACTGTTTACGACAACTTTTACCCACTCTTAGTAGCGCTCTGCCGTGCCCTTGTTATTTTTTTTAAATGCAGTTGACCTTGACATGTTAGAAGTTTTGGGATTTTGTGTGTGATCGAAAGCGATCACGCTTGATTTTCATACCTACAAAGGGATGCCACTTTTGGCTGTACTGATGTATTTGCCATGATCTTGTTATCTACTATCACTTTGCCAAGAGTATTGTAAGCTCGGTAATCGCATAAGTAGTATGTTTAAGCAAACTTTTGTTCAGGAGTTTGTAGTGACTAGAGGATTTAGCACTACCTTACAACCCTCTAGTTAACAGCCCGTAGCTACCCGAGAATAGGAAAAAGGAGGCGACGGAGAACACGACCGTTTATTAGAGTCGAACCAGCCAAGTGGCTTTGTGGGCGTATGAGCACGCGTGCGTAATAGGCGAATGCTGACAAAAATCAATAACAAAATGGGATGAGTCATCGCTACACACGGACCTTCATGCACGCACACTCGCGCGGGGCGGCTGTCAGTCCACTACAAGTTATCCTCAAAAATGCAAATGACAGGTTAAATTTTCTGCATGTCTTGTAATGTGAGCTTGGGGAAATTAGTGGGAAAATTAACTACTCAAGAAGCTTTCTAGAACCGCATGCCAGCGCGTTGGGGAATTTGCATGAAATTTAATCAATTTTGACATGGTGCATTAAATTTGAAGGATTTACAAAGAACTTATTAATCATTTAAGGAGTGATAAGTTGAGAAGAGATTGCTGAAGAACTACACGGTGACAATTTAACTGCCTCCCACTAATTGACACAATTGCATGCACTTAAAATCTCCATATTTGGATTGCACACGATTTGAGGGACTGGCACAAAGTTAAACGTGTTTGCGCGGCCATTTCTGAATTCAGCTGTCAACAAAACGTACCTTCCCTAGATCGTGGCATAATTTTAAACAAATAGTGGTTTTTCAGGGAATTATATTATGCGAGCTTAACCTACGAAGAAAATCGATGAATGCGGCAAAGTTCTGTGATCAAAGCACACAATTTGATGTAGTAATTAAATCGGAACGTCCAAATTTTCTGATTCACGTTGGCAAAGTTTGGCTAGGAGACATTGCAAAACGTAAAAGAGCTAAAATATGAAATCCTTCGTCGCACATACCCGTTTTCCCATGACCTTGTCACTTCGGATTTTCACTTGTTTTGTTCACTGCGAAATTAGTTGAATGGGAATAAGGGTTGATTCCATGAAGGAAGTTGACAATTATCACTAGGGACTGCGTAATTTCCACATGTCAAGATGGGCAATACATGGATCATTACAAGATACTCTTTTTCATAAAAACATGTTTTAAATCTGGTCACTAGTGAGACAAAAACTTAACGAACACCAAATATTTGGTAAAAAAACTCGATTATTACCTTTCAGATTAAATATGATTTAACTGTTTCGATGCGCCTGCTATTGTTTAATTCCTTTTTCATAGACTCGCGCCGACAATTCGTTAGAATAAAACTCCGTTTGTGTCACGCGACTGTGCGCCATGACATGCCACACATCAGGTCATAATCTGATTGGTTATAAAGGGAATCACCAAGCACACTTTGACTTCTGGGTTGCTATAAAGGTCTGAAGATTTACAAAAGGCAGTACTGCTTTTCAGATCGACAATGGCAGATAAAAGTCTACCCGCTGTTTTGGACATCGGGACTGACACGTGCAAAGTTGGAATGGCCAAAGAGCGATTACCCAGTGCCGTTATTCCTACGATCGTCGGAGAGAACACTCAACAAAGCACTCTGGTTGGCATGGACGGTCAAGACTACTACGTCGGGGACGAAGCCAAACCCAGGCTTGATTTAGTTGCCATCTCGCACCCAGTCGAAAGCGGTGTTGTTACTAACTGGGATGACATGGAGAGAATCCTGCGTTACATCTACGAAAACAAACTCCGTGTGTCTCCTGAAGAACACCCTGTTCTCGTGACTGAAGCTGTACTGAACTCCAAGCACAACCGTGAGAAGATGGCGACCTGCTTGTTTGAGACCTTCAACGTTCCCGCCATGTACGTGGCCATTCAGGCAGCTCTCTCGCTCTACTCATCTGGTCGCACCACCGGTGTTGCCGTGGAAATTGGCGATTGCGTCAGTCAAATCGTTCCTATCTACGAAAGCTATACTCTTCCTCAGGCAATCCATCGCTTCAGACTGGCCGGTAGGGCTCTTACTGATGGGCTCATAAGACTTCTCAACGATCGTGGTTACACATTCCCCACCACCGCTAAACGCGACAGTGCTCGCGACATCAAAGAGAAGCTCTGTTATGTGGCTCTAGACTTTAAGGATGAGATCAGCAACGCCACCAGTTCGCCTCTAAACAAGGAGTACAGGTGTCCCGATGGTGAAGTCATCAACGTTGGCGACGAGGCCTTCCGCTGTCCTGAAGCCCTCTTCCAACCCAAACTCATTGATTACGAGTGTCCTGGCATTCACAAAAGTATTGTTGACTCGATCAAAATCTGCGATTTGGACACCAGAAAGGACCTCTACGCTGGAGTACTCATATCCGGTGGTTCCAGCATGTTTCCTGGGCTCGCTAGACGACTAAAAAAGGAGCTGACAGCGATGGTGCCGGCCACAGTGGCGGTCAATGTTTGCGCTCAACCTGAGCGAAATTACTCCGTGTGGACAGGTGGCTCCATTCTGGCATCTCTGTCCACGTTCCCGGAAATGTTGATCAAGCGGAAGGAATACGACGAAACAGGTCCAAATATTGTCCATGAAAAATGCTTTTAGGTTTTTATCTGTATTATACTTTGATACAAATGTTTCCCCTTTCTATCTCTCCTTCCTTCTTCTAGCTTTGTGTTTTGCAGGTAATTCATGCGCTTAAGAGCTACTTGGATAGGTTTTAAATGTAATTTTCAGCCTGTCCATTTTAAATTCTACTTGACGTGCTTAAATGGAATGGCATATATTTATAGTGCCAATGTAATTACGTAATTTGTAGTATTTGGACAAACTGAATTTAACAATTAAGAATGAGTTATTCTGAAGAACGTCGTCACAAATGTGGGCGTCAACACCCACCACACGTAGCTGTGCTTTTCTAAAAATACGTGTGTGGTGGTTTGAATAGCAGTTTTAGACCTGGTGCACCAATTTTTGTTAATCAAGACAGCCCCGAATTCGATTTTACTGGGGTAGAAGCAAAACTAGAGTCACCGCGAATAGGTGGTCGATTTTAATGGTCTGGAGTGTTTCTGGATGTTGGTGTTTTTTTTATAACCACGCCGCGCCTCTTGCATCCGTACGAGGGATCCACTCTCACCAAAATAAAACAAAATCGACTCCATCTAACGGAGGTTTTGGTGCTCAACTTGTCAACTTTCCAAACTAAATTATAATTGGTGAACTCGAAAAGGGGCACCACACTTGTCCTGGCGACTACAAATGGATTCATACACAGTTTCGATGATATCGAAGGGGGAATTTAGGACAGTGCAAGTAAGGTGTGAGAGTGAATTGCCCTGGGGTTATATTTCAACCAAATATTATAAATTCTGCCAGTTCATGCGGTTGCATGGGCACAGAACTGAGGTGCCAGAAGTTGAGTGTCCCTCTTAGCTGACAATGTAAACTTACCGCTAGCATTCAACAGAGCGCTGATCTGAAAGCGTTAAAAGTGCTTCTGAGACAGCGTGCGATTCTTCCACTGAATCGGCGTCACACCCCCACGCCATAATAATTCTACTTATTGCATTATGCAGTAAGCCTCTACCTAGTCATTACTAGTAATGTCGCTATTCACAAGTCACGAGTCAGTCGTTCTAAGCACAAGTTAACCTTTTTTTTATAAAGAAAAATATGTTCGTCTGTCCCTACGCGTCATGTTAGGAGCACTAAAATCTCAAAGGAGATGCCTAGTACGTTCAGGAGGTCTGGAGCGAATTCACAAACATTAAAACCATCTAAATACACATTTAAGTACTCATGGAAATCTGTTGGTTTTTTTTAAATCGAAGATGGAGTTGTTTTGGCAGAACCACGTACCAGCAGGCCAACATCGATACACCGTACAAGCAATTTCAGCCCCCACTCAAATGTCATCTTTCAGTGCAACAGCGTGAATATGCATGGATGAATTGAGCACACGATCGACAGGTAGGTCAATGAAGGAAACCCGAGACGTGAGAGGTCAGAAGTAAGTAGAACTGAAACACGTTCTCTCACGCCTGGTGAAATCGCTCGCAAAAACGCTTGATCACAACTCGTGTGGGCGTACTGATAGCCACCACGCACTACGTCGTGTGGATCCCCATCATCACTAAAGTGCAGTCACATTTCAAACAAAGAAGATGTTCGCCAAACTTGGCTAAGGAGCAGATGAATCAGAAATAGTTATTAGTGACGTTCTATACGCAAGCGTGTATGGTCACGCAGTCATGCTGGCAAAAGTACTTTCAATTATTTAAGATAACAAAATTAACCCAGTTTATAATTACAGATAGTCGACTGTAATCGCCGACATAATTCTAAATGTACAGCATTAAGATTCCGAAATCAGGGTTTCGGAAAGATCCAAAAAACAATTAGCTGACTCTGACCGGACAGGAAAGGCCAAATGCCGCAAAATCCAGAAGGTAGACCAAATATCTTACGCCAAAAAAAGTAGTTTTTAGCTTAAGTTTTTCTAAAGAAAAACTGATATTATTAGGCATTTTCACCATGATAGGAAATTTACTGAAATCATTTTGTACTGCTCTTTTGTCTCTATTTCCTTAACTTTTGCATGGGATTTACTTTGATTCTACATGGCAGTACCTGGAGATCTCCCTGGAAGCACAATTCGTAAAATTGTCTTGCAGCTGTTTACAAATCGGTTTAAGCTCATACATGCAGAAAACAAGTGGTGAGGAACTCAAACTGAGAGGCTTGATTGTTTATTTTTGAGCAAAATGGTTTTTAGCCTCAGTTATTCTTATGGAAACCTAATATTATTAGGCATTTTCACAATGACAGGAAATTTTCTGAGGAGTCAGTTGCAAACTAGTTGTCAGATCGTCTCTTGGTGGCTGAATTGGTGCTTCCCTGTGTTTTGTTACAACATGCTACTGTGCATTTTGTGGCGCGTAGTCGCGTTGCTCGTTCGTTCAAACGTTGTGCAAAATGGCTCGGCCAATTGTTTCTATCGTTGTTGGTGCAGCGTCGTAGGTGATTTACCTTGTTTCATGTTCTTGTAGACTCTGTGTAGGGTTTAAAATGTTTAGGGCTTTCTCTAATGTGAGTATTTGTGTTTCAATGAGTTCTTTAGCATGATTCTATCGAGGAATTTAACTCTTTTGAAGTAGATTTGGATGAATGCAGCCCTTCTAAATGGATGACAGAGTCAGTTACACCTGCTTCCAGTCTCCTTGTAGGAGGTACCACGTCTCTTTATTGCATCTCATAGTTTAGTCGATATTCGGTCGAAAATGGAAGTTCTCTGTATGAATCTGCAGGCAAGTGGTCTTTTTAAACCTAGTTAGCATTCATGCTTTTAGAAAAATGTGTTTTAACAAAATCATGTAGGCAGTTTATTCCGCAAATACAACCCAAATCGCCTACTTTTAACAACTACTCCTTGTCTTTTCCAGTTATCTGTCTTGTTGCCTAATAATTCGAATATGCTTATTATAATATTTTCTTCCACATAGCTGCTGTTTCCTCACATTTTTTAGATGGTTGAAAGTGGTAATATTTTGTTCTGGAACTTGAATTCCCTAGCTGTGCTACACTTACACTTACCAGATTGGAAATGAATATTTAGCAATGATTTTTGTGCATGATGGAAGTACAGTTATGTGTATATTATATCTCCTTTCACAATTTTTTTGGATGCAACTTGAGCCTTCCCGTTTATTGAATGGTCAATGCATTGCATAAGGTGTGAGTCCGTTGCTAGCATTGGCTTATCTTACTTGCTTTTGAACTATAACGTGCCTGGAATAACATCTGTTTTTCCTACGTTATTTTTTGTTTCATCTTGGGTAAATATTTTACCTGTGAATTGCTCATGGACACTCATCTGACCTTGGTCAGGCCCTAACCTCTTTATTCGCTAAACGTAAATAAAGTAAATTTTCATTTCCATGAACGTTGCAACAAAATTAGGGCGTTGTGGTTCCGTCTAGGTAGGGGTTGTCACTTGTTTACATCAGCAAGTGTTTTTCGTCTGTTTTCAGTCTTATTTATGTCGAAATATGGAAGCCATTGACGGCAAGGCAAAGTTCGTTGTTGATCGGTGGATGCGGGACAAAGTGAGTTCTTGATTCTCCGTTTGCGTGCTTTTGAGGTCATCGCAGTTAAGGATATTCTTCGTAGTAGCCGCATTGCATTTGCTTGACGTTGCATTAACAGTTGCAAAGCGCGATTGGTCAGTGACGTCCCCATATACCACCGTTATCGTTTACTCGCCGTAAACCATTGCGTTGCCAGTTATTTTACTCAGAACACCCTTGAAAAAAACTTTTCACTCTACGGGTTTTTATCGTATCCTTATTAGGTATCCACTGTTCCATTAATCATGCTTCTGGATTCGGCTGACATTGATGGGCAAACAATTTCTCCCTGAGAATTTTCACGTGATTTGTGGCTTCAGATCAAAGTCCTAGATAGGGGGGGGGTACTCTTATCGGTCTGAGGCCCATTGCATACTCCAAATTGCTGAGTGCGTCTTGCTCTTGTAGCACTTTACGGTTTGTATACAACCGAGTGCTTCAATAACTGCCCCATTATTACTTTTTCGCTTTTCAGAATGAGGGAGGAGGTATTTCGTGTGTGCTTCAGGATGGGGAAGTGTTCGAAAAGGCTGGGGTTAACATCAGTGTGATAACCACCACCCTCTCAGAAGCTGCCATCAAACAAATGAAAGAGAGGTTCGTGCTTGTACTTACACAATCACTGGAGCCATTCCCCTACCCACCTCACTGTACGTCGAAATTGAATTAGTAGAATTTAAAATGGTAGGAACAGTAGGACTGATTGTGGGTGTGGTGCGCTACATCAATGCAAATGTAAAGGCATTTTGCCCGAAGGAGGGTGTGCTGAGGCCATTCTTCGTCCAAACCACGCTCTCTTTTGACTTGATTCCCTTGGTTTTCGCATTGCAGATCGAAAGACTTGGAGAGCGGCGGCAATTACAAATTCACCGCCGTGGGCATCAGCTCCGTAAACCATCCTGTGAGTTGTTGGTGCTGAAATCGCGCGTGCGCGGTCTTGATTGAACACTTTTTTGAGCTTCGAGTTCATAACTGTTTTCAAATACTTTGCTTTGATCTTAACCGCATCACTTTCAAACGTCTCCCTAATGCTGCTAATGTGTGTACAAAGACAACTACTCACGCCTGTTTTCTGCATTGCCAGCGAAATCCTCATGCTCCAACAATGCACTTCAACTTTCGCTACTTCGAAGTGGTTGACGTGGAGACGGGCAAGTCGACCTGGTGGTTTGGGGGTGGCTGCGACCTCACGCCCTCCTACCTCTACGACGACGACGCCAGGCACTTCCATCTGCCCTTCAAGGCGGCCTGCGATGCGCACAACCCCACCTACTACGCCGACTTCAAGAAGTGGTGCGATGACTACTTCTTCATCAAGCACAGAGGCGAGTTCTGGGTCACCTGGCTCTCCCAACTTCACACACTAATCCGTCTTTCATTGTCGAAATTCTGTCCGGTTTAGGTGAGTCTCGCGGTATCGGAGGTATCTTCTTTGACGACCTTGATTCACCGTCTCAATCTGAAGCCTTTGCATTTGTTAAGGTATGTCGTTTGCCGATGTTGTGCTTAGCGTGTATAGATGCGACACATAATGGGCTGTGCCCATTTCTAAACTCAACCCGCCTGTCACCTGATCCCATAGTCTGCCAATTCACTACGTGTGAAATTTATTCTTGTTTTCAGGATTGTGCTGCTGCCGTGGCGCCTGCTTACCTACCAATTGTTGTAAAACGTCGGAAGATGCCATTTACAGCTAAAGAAAAGTAATATTTCCTTTTCATATTCTTATGTTTCCCCTCTCTTCCACCACCACCACCACCATAATCAATTAATTGGACTTCACCGGGGGTGGAGGTGTTATGTAGGAAAGGTATTGCAAAACCCCCTTGTCATGGTGTCAATTGATTGTAGTTCGAGAAAATACTCTCTAAACCTATACGTGTACATCAAGAATCTGGTTGTTTTGTAGAATACGCATGTGCTTGATTTCAGACGTGCGCAATATACCAATTGTCGAGACCCCATAAGGATCTGTTCACTATCTTGAAGCATCGACGCACAAATCTTCCAGGCCAGTCGGGCACTGTTGAGTCGACTGTTGCACCGTTTAAAATTAAGTGGCACCGTATTTTGATAGCCATTCAAAGCATACAAATTTTAATGCCTGCCATCACACATAGGTCTAGTCTCATCGTCGAGGTTCTCCTTTTGCTTGGGGGTGGTTTTGAGGTTCTTTAACACGACCTCAGATGCCCCTCCGAAATACATGGGTTCGATTATTAAAAGTATTTGCAAGAGCTAACGTTCCTTGCATTTGTTTTCACGATAAATTCGACTTTGACGTTTAATTCTTCCTAAAGGCCAGTTATTCTAGCTTATGTTTTTTTCCCCACTGTGCTTCAAGGGAGTGGCAGCTGATTCGGCGCGGTCGTTACGTGGAATTTAACCTCATCTATGACCGAGGCACCAAATTCGGCCTCTTCACACCGAACGCCCGCTACGAGAGCATATTCGTTTCGATGCCCCTCTATGCGGTGAGTTGCACGAGAAACCCTCCCCCCATCCTCCCATTACAAATTACGTGACATCACAGTTTCTCCTGTTGCATTTTGTAGAAATGGGTCTACTGCCACGACCCGTCAGACGATCCAAGGCACATCGCCCTGCTGGATGTGTTGAAGCACCCACGTGAATGGGTCTAGAAGTCAGCTTGATCCGGTGTCACTGCCACCTGTGTGTATGCGCGCGCGCGTGTGTGTGTGTGTTTGGTATTCATATTTTATAGAAATATACCAGTCAACTTTCCTCTTTTCTAGTAAACTCATCGTTTTGTTGGTTAACGAGTTGGTTTTCTTGTGTGTGGGAAATGCCTGTTGCCTGGGCCGTTGCCACGGGCTGTGTGTTCAGACGAATTCGACCGCCTTGGTCGCGCCGCTGTATTTTCGAGTGACTTGTGGCTTGCCAATTCGCCTACTAGCTCTGCCTTCAATTTCAAATGACTTTAGTTGGCATGAAAACGTAGTTTCTCGGTTACCGTGTGTCCCAACGTCACATTAGACGAGGTTGTTGCGTGCCACGTTTGTGGGCGTATGTCAACGTCCTGCTATACTATCACACATTGGGATTTTACACTGGAATCAGAAGAGGTGGAGTGTGGGTCTCGGTGTTTACGGCTAGCTTAAACGTTAGTTGCCACGTTTCCCGTCAATTTCATCCTCAGTGTCTCCTTGAACGTTTCTCACCGCGCGTGGGGTCGCACTTCCATCCGGTGTGCAAACCAACCCCCGCCACACGACCAGTTAGGCAGCTGAACGCCTCATCCGCGGATGTGCTGTGGTAGTCGTTTGTTTATGACCTTAACCGAACCACGCGACGTCTGTTTTCGCATAACTGTAGCTATTCTCTAGCTTCTGCACGCCGCCCAGTTCAGCATACAAACTGAGTCATCCTGACGTGGAATGCACGCACAGACACAAGCAAGTCTCGTAAGGCGAACAGGTGGTGGCCGTGATGGTGTCGGCACTGAAACTGTCTATCACATGTGTTTGTGTTAGACTCGGTTGTCGTTTCTAAATACGACACCTTGTAAACGGTTCGTGTCAGAACCCGGATTAGACGCTGTAGACTGCTGATACCGGATTTTGCACACAAATTTGTTAGCCTCAATGAAAACAGTGATGATGTGAGGCGCGCCGAAATCTGGCGCGCATTTGTGCGCATCGGGCATTGTGGTTGGCTCGTTAGCAGCGCCAAAAGTATGCTGAAGCTGCAGAAACATCAGCGACCATGATTGGTTACTGAGGCAAGCGTTTTGGACTGAATGTCGTCGCAGGGGGTGAACAATTTCCGTTATAATTAAACTAGAATTTGTTTTGTTAACAAGAGGGTTGGTTTCATTGTGAAGGCCTTGAGCATACAAGGGCAGCAGGGTCTGGTCATATTTGCCGGTCGCTACTTCTGAATTTTGAGTAGTATCTGATTGCACAAAATTACTAGTCCATTTTTTTGGCTTAGAAGAAGGATTCATCATAGAGGTATGACCAACCAGACTACCTCACTGCAAACGCAACCAAGGGCTTTGATGTTCGCATCCGCACGACCGTTTAGGGAGGCTCATTAGACGAATAAAAGTGGTTCCCAAGAGGGACTCAACTATGCTGAAGACGGATTCAAGATGCCTCTAGGTTGATGTGGTCTGTATTTAAGGCCTAGTCACCCTCTCTTCCATTCAAAAATTGCAATTCGAATTCCATTCCTCCGTAACATTTTGCAAAACGTACCCTCCAAATCTATCGGTAAATTTGGTCAAATTCCGGATACTTCGGCAACTTTTCGTCCGCTAGAAATAGCTGCACAGTATCCACCCGCTTGCCAAATGCGCAGAGTTACTGGCATGTGTTAGTCATAAATTTTCTCAGAAACCATGACCCATCAAATTCATCTTCTTTATCAAATTCGGAACCCATCAAAATGCGTTTGTACCAGGGCTGATATCTACCTAATCAGTAAGACAGGTTGATGGACTTTGCTGTTGAGTAGTGTAAAGCCCTTCACGCGGCTGTCCCTACGTCCTGCCCTTCAGAGATGTCGCGCCGTCACTTAGAGAACGCCCTCGTCGCCGGAGCCCTGATCGAGAACGGCCTGGAGCCGGCCTTCCGCTTCTCCAGACTCCGTTTCCAGCGCACCCTCTACCCCCCGAACTACGAGTCGGCGGCCGACGACGACGACAAGGAGACGAAGTCCGAGAGCCTAGTCTGCTGCCAGTGCGGTGCGCAGGAGGTGTGCGTCAGTTTAATTAAGGACCCGAAAACCGGGAAGGTGCAAGCTAGGTGCAAGAACCACCCCCAGTCTGACGCGTTGATGATTGAGGACGACTATGGGGTGCATTCGCTGCAATTCAGCGCCGATGGGCGACAACTCATCGCTGGAGCTGCCAACACGAGCGTGCGAGTGCGTTCTGCTCATTATTACCCAATTTGCAAGCGTTTTTACATAATAATACTAATTCATCCCAGGTCTACCCCCATTCCAATGGTCTTCTCACAACGATTTAAGATTGGTTGTCGATACATCAATAATTTCCATATCTATCATACTACTGTTAACATTTGAGTAACGATATTTGTTCGTGTCTTTAAAGGCGATCGACGTTGCGGAGGCTCGTCAGCAGTTGGTACTGCGACCCTCAAAGTGGTCACTGGGCATGCCGATAACTTGTCTACGGTACATGCCTACCAATTTTTACTGGGTGTTAGGCTGCACCCCACACGGTGACATCTTCTGCTTCTGCCCCGACGAAGAGGGTTTTGAGACACTCCTTACAGGTGCGTGTGTGTGTGTGTTTACGAACGCAACGCAGCGTGACTCCCAAAACATCTTTTTGGTTTCTACAGACGAAAATGTAGCCCATCTTTATTTGGTGCTGCCAGTAAAATAACCCGTAGCCTTGTAGCCTGTGCACATTTGCGGTGAAATGAGTTAAAAACACACACACACACAAACAAACGCTTCTACTTTTGCCTATTTAGAAGATCAGCAGACATTCTGTCTCGACATATCGCCCGACGGATTTGAATTGGCGACGGCTGGAAAGGACACGCAAATTCGCATCTACGGTCTCTACCCGGGCCAAGTGACCGGCTTCACTAACCCCAAGAACACAATCAAGACGGTCAATCGTCAGCTGAATCCAGGCAAAAGTATGTTCACCACCACCACCACCACCACCACCACCACCACCACCACCACCACCACCACCACCACCACCACCACCACCACCACCA